TACATACATACACACACACATGCATATATGTATATATGGAGAAATACCATGAAGCCCGTCTGAGCCAGGCTGAACGTCCTGGACCCCAAAGGGATGAAGGCCAACGCATGCCTGGTCTCAAATAAGTACATAAGTTTGGTCAGATGTATTCGGGTTGTGTAGGGTTTCCATAGGGGGTACCCTACACAAGGTTATCCTATTTACAGCCCCGAACCCTGAACCCAGCCCTAGAGACTAACGCCTGAACCCCAAGAACGCACTGAACAGCAAATCCTGCTTCCTGAGCCTCATGATCCTTGTTGCCTAGGGAAACGACGGAAAGGGCTTCGGGACCTTGGTGTGTGTCAGGGGTTGTGGGCTCAGGGCTTTTGGGGAATTTAGGGGTTACAGTGTAGGGTTGGGGATGGCTTCGGGCTTGCTTTGGTTTGAGCTTTTGGGCTTCAAAGCCGGCTGCAAAATCCTCAAACCCCCAGTGCCTTCTGAGCTTCAAAGTAAGTCCGTCCCGAACCTGCTGCCGTTGAACAATCTTGTCTTTACTGACTATCCTTCGAAGTCTTCCACGTTGAACAAGGTACTCTTGATGCGGTAGCCCGATTTTGTGTCGTAGTTTCATCTTGACAGCTCAGAAGTCCAAAATGCTGAAACGTCCAAAGCCGATAACGACTAAAACCAAGACGTCTTACAAAGCCAGATTTCTTTTTGTCTCATATCAGCGGCTCTTGGCAGCTGGACCAGTGCAAAATCTGCAATCGCGCATCCTGTGAACCTAATCACATTCTATCAGCCTTTTTCGGAAAGATCCCCTTTCAAGGGCTACGATAGTAAAGTTTCAATAAAATCATAAGGGCGTACAGAGTTGAGGAACCCTGCCAGACAGCCAATTCTCTTGAAACCGGACACCCGGACCCTTCTCGAGAGGCCGCATTTCTTTGGCGCTCACCCTGGCGAGAGACGCTTCGGTGGATGAAAGCAGAAGTGATAGGTTTCGGAGTTGAGGATTTGGAAGTGTTGGGGGCCAGGGGGGCCATGTGGGGTTGTCGGTTCGGTGTGATGGCCCCAAATGTGCTCTTTTTCGCTGCCGTGCTGTTTGCGGTGATGGTGGCTACTCTTCTAGTCACTACTTTGGCATTTGCGTAGTGCGATCTCGCTGGTCAACAGAAGCCTTTGGGCCGTAGGGACGTAGGGTCGCGTTGAGGTGTACTGCAATTACGGACTCAGACGTTTTGGCGCTGGGAGCCACGAATCACGATCATCGGTCTGTTCGCACCCGAACCGCCACAGAACTGACGTGCCTTTCTCGAGTGCTCCTCCAACTACACTAACACGCTCGAGTGGCTCATCGCAAGGTCACGCTAAGCAACCCGAAAGCTGAAAGGCACCAAGCCCACCGAAACCCTGCACCAAAGGCAGTCTCAGTATCCCAGAGACCGACGCATTCAAACGACATGTGAGAATTGAGGTTTGAGGCATAGAATCGCATTATTCGTTTTAGATTTTCAGGACCTGCATTCCAGTGAGCATGTAATTCAAGGTGAACCAGTCGTAGCAATATCCCCATATCCTCTATGGTCCTTATTTTAGTGTAGCACAACACAACCATGTACCTCGAAGCCCTCGTCTTTAGTATTCGCACCCTTTTAGGCTTCAGGCGGTTCAGGCGGTTCAGGGTTCGGGTCCTGGCATGTCATTTCACCACGCAGTCACGCAGTCTTTCGACAAAATTTAGGGTTTCGGCTTCCGCAGCGGAGCTGGATGCTCAAGACCGTAACACCTCAACTCTATTGTGGGGCCCTAACAAGTAAAAGAAGGCTTGGGGTATGATATACTACCAAGAGTTTCTAGTTTGCTTCAGGACGGGTCTCCCTGAATAATTTCCTGATAGGGTGTCAATACGATTTGGATACAATTGGGGGGTACGATCGGCGTATCGGGTGATGGTATGGATGCGGTTCAGATACAGGAACCGGTACGATTTGGATACGGGTTTCAATACGGGTCTGTATAGAGGGTACGAACTGAAATGACAGTATGTGATCCTGACAACACAGTATGAAACTACTCCACACGAGAAACACGGGCCTCCACAGCGCTCCTTTCTGTTTGTATACGGGTTCTAATACCGGTTCTTGGGCTCCTACCAAAGAAACAACGCAGTGCGCACGCTATCCAAGGCATTTGGCCGACGAAAACAAAAAAAACGCAGTGCTCGCGCGCTGTGCGTTTTTTTTTTGTGTAGTTTCGTCCGCCAAATGTCTTGGATGTGATTTCTTTCCGGCCTGGGGCGCACCAGAGCTCCGAAAGCCGATTTTGGGCTCCTCCCCAAGGAACAATATTTGGATACGATTTCCCTGCCGGATCGGGCCCGGAAGCCGAATTTGGGTTCCTACCAGAGGAAAAATAAGGGTTTGGATTGGGGTTTGGATAAGATTTGGATACGATTTCCGTCCCTGGTTAGGCGGCCCCAGCCGGAGCCCGAATCGCAGCTGTACTCTCGGATGGTAGTTCACCCTGGCCGGTCGGCATTCGAAACCCTGTTAGAAACCATATTGAAATCGTATTGAATTCGTATTGCCTCTGGACCAGAGCATATCGGCCCCTGTATCGAAATCGTATCCGAACCGTATCTCCCGAAATGCGGACTACGCTAATCGTATCAGTGAATCGTATCCAAATCGTATCCAAACCGTAAACCAAAATATTCCTGGATCGGGCCCTGAAGCCTAGCTAGAAACTCTTGGATATACGATACGATACTTATACAGGGGCTGTTAGTGGATATCATTATCTAGTATGTAGGCTCCCCTATTGATCTCGGAACCAAGGAAGTGTATAGCCTGGCTGCAGATGCCACTGCAGGCGCACTGGTTCAGTACGTTCTGGGCACAGGGTTTGGGGTTTAATGTTCAGGCTCAGCCTTCTAACCCCAAGGCTCTAAACCCGAAACCTCGGCCGCTTCAGAAGCCTAAGCCCCAAAGCCTACTGTAAGCTTCAACTCGCAGTGTTAAACTCAAAGCCCGATAGCGCAAACTGAACGGTCGGGGGCTCAGGGGTCAGATGTGAACCTCTGATGTTCAACATCGCTCCCTATGATAAGGATCCTCTTATTTGAGTTTCTCCATGGAGCCTAGCTCTGGCACAAAGCCCAATGGTAAGATCCGTGTGTCAGGATCCGGAAATGGGATCTCCATAGTCTCTGAACACCAGTCTGAACTGTGCATGCCCACGTCTTAAATCTCGGAAAGGGAGCCCGCACTCCGCAAGCAGAACCGGCAGTAAGCAACCAATTTACTGTTCAAGCTGCTACAAGCAATCTCGGCTTCAGGCTCAATGATCTGATGTAGACATCGTCAGACCCACGAGAGACGTCCAACTTGGATGCTGGAATTCGTAGGAAATCCAAGGCCCGAATGGTCGGAAAGAGTCAGCCGTTGGAAGAACCTAAACCCCAAACCCCCCTGTTATCATCGTAGCTGCCAGAGCGCTTCTTGGCTGCAAGAGCTGCAGACTTGATCAGCTTGCCCCTCGAAAATCCATGCATAAACCCTCAAGGCTAAAACTCGCATTTTGAGGTTCTAAAGGGTTTCAGAGGGCTTTCCATGGGCCAGAAGAAGGGCGAGATTTTCCCATAGCCTTCCCGAATGTAGTCATAGTTTAGAACCTTCCTCAACCCAGCATTGCTTGTTCAGGAGCCGGCATTATGCTCAAGCCCCATCCACTTGAATCCCGAAGATCGAAAGCTCGGAAAGCTCGTGCTGCAAACAGCTGTATGGACTTGAGAAGCTAGCTGGAATCCCATCCATTCCGACAGAGACGCCATCGAAAACTTTGCAGTCCAATGAGGAAGCGTTTGGGAGTCTAGAGGCCAAGCATGCCATCCATTATGCCCGTGTGTGTATATATATATATATATGTGAACTAGCAAAATACGTATGTATGTATGTATGTATGTATGTATGTATGTATGTATGCATGTATGTATGTATACATATAGATATACAGATAAGATGAAGACATGCTTCGTATCCTTTATCAATTTTGGACTTTGTATGTTCCACAGATAAAGTCAAAGGGCTTGGATGATGAAGCTTTGCCTACCTTCTTTGAGCGGCCTATTCCCCAAACCCTAAACTTCAAGCCTAAAAGCCTAAGGCCCCTCCAACATCCTATATAAACCCCGAAAGCCCCGAAATCTGCAAACCCCAAACCGCTGCCGTTTCCTGCGCCAGCTCTTTGCCCCCACGCTGACTGCGGTGGTCGTGCTCCAGGTCGTGCTGGGTTAAGTCGAGTTCCTCTTTCGGGCTCCTCCAGGGTTCCTTAGGGTCCCTGTTCATATTTGGGTTCCTGTCCAGGGATCGAATCTAACATGCAACAGCCGAGAGAGATGTCCCGCAGGAAATCGGATCGGTAGATTGAAGCAAGGCTCGGGATTTCGAGTTGTTGGTTGCATTCCTGGTCTTCGAATGCGGGAATATAGGGTTGGGAGACGGGCAACTCGCAGAATCTCACAACCCTTTAAATCCAAAGCCCTAAATGCTGGCTAGTGCCACTGCGGAGGCCCTCAGCTCTCTCGCGAACGATGTGCCCATGGTGCAGGTGCCATCTGCATTGCTATTTTTTTGACTACCACACTCGTAGGTTAGCGTGAGGACGTGGATCACTATTACAGGACGTTTGTCAGGGGTTGCTCTTCTTACTTTGATGAGCATCGGGTTCCCCGGGCCTGAGCACAACTCCGAGCATTGAGCCTACACCCACACCCTTCTTTCCGAACCGAAGGAATCCTAAACCCCTCCGGACATCCGAAACCCGAAACCCCAAACCTCAAACCGCCTCGAAAAGAAAGCCTTTAATGCCTAGTTTGAATCTCTTGAACGTCAACCCCCATCAACCCCTGAAAGCAGTTACAAGCCCCGATCAATACGTGAAGGCCCATTGTAAAATCTTGAAAGCCCGTCGTGATGGATGCCAGACAGAGTCCCGCAGCAAGATTTCCGACTACGACCTCTTTGGTTTGGGATCTAAGGCTTGGGGTTTGTTTCAATTCCAACGAGGAATCTAGGAGGCACCATTACGCGCTTACTGCAGGGGGTTCCTAAAAGAGTTGTTTCGGAATTTAGAGGCGTGTGTTGATACGAGCCTTTGTTGTCAGTGCTTATCCTGTTGCGTTCTACAGTTTGGTGGGTTTGGTGGAGCAGTTCTTGCTGTTTGAGATGTTGGCACGGCCCAAAGCCCGTTGTCCCTCAGCAAGCCCTTCAAATAAAGATTCTGTTTTCCCTCAACCGTCAACCCTTGAATCCTAAATTCCTTAGGCCCTAAAGCCTACATTCCCTGCATTCCGTAGGCCCTTAACACTGAAGCCTTCAAGGCTGAACCCTAACCCCAACAAGAGCCCGAAAGGAGTTTGCGGGTCCAGCGCTCCTGGGGATGTTCATGATTCTGGTCTTCGGCCCTTTCCTCTTTGTCCCGGCTCCTTGGCAAGTTTAGGGTGTAGGGGGCGTTTCTACGGCCTGCTCGAGTTTTGGGAGGGTTTCGTGAGGTGTTGTGGGGTTGCTGGCGGGTGGGGGCATTTATCGGGGCTTGCCGTTCTTTCTGTGTTTTGGGGTTGAGCCTCGGGTTTTGGTGCTTCTTGGGAAGCAGGGTTTTGGGGTCGATGATCATTTGCCTTTTTGGCGGTTTGTGGGTCCCAAGGAGCCGGCAGGGCTCGGTTGCAGAATCCCGAAGACGACCCAAAGAAGCATCTGCAACTCACCCCAAAACCACCGATGAGACCTTGCAGCAAGGCCTCCCCTAGAGCTTCAAAATCCAATCACGAAACCATTGTACAACTACCCGACTCTTTGTAAACAAATCCTCTAAAGCCCCAGTCAACATTCTGAAAAAGCCTGTATTCACACAAACAGTGCAGTCCTCCGCCATGGAAACACCTAGAGAAGAAAACACTTGCCCTACTTACCATTTGCAACCCCGATGCTAAAAGCAATCGAAACCCTCATGAACACGTCTGTACAAAACCCTTATGAAAGCCCAACGCCTTCCGCAAGCCCATGCCAGATGCCGGTATAGCCATTCTTGTGAAAAAGCCCAAACCCTAAACCCCAAAGTCTAAACCCCAAAACCCTAAGCCTTAAGCCTTAAGCCTTAACCTCTAAACTCTAAGCCCTATAAACCCTAAACCCTAGCCCTAAATTTGCTTTTCGTGTTAGGCGATCCTCCTGGGCGATGCGGCGGCGGAACGCCGCCTTTTTGAGGCCTCCGGGCTCGCGCAGCTGTTGCCGAAGGAGAGTTTGGGGTTTAGGGTTGTTTGGGGTTTAGCGAGTCTGTTTAACATTTTGAGCCTACTTAAGCTTACGTAGCAGGAGATAGCGTCCACGCCCGAAACGGCGGCCCAGCGCCGCGGCCGACGGCGCTACGCGCTCTTCGTGGCCACGCGCAGCTGGGCGAACTCTGGGAGGGCTTTCTTGGCCTTGAAAAGGGGTTCGCAGTTGGATCGGGTTTGACTCAGGATGTATGGTCGTTCAAGGTTTAAGGTTGGGCCAGCTTTAGTGTTTAGGCCTGGCTTTGCAAAAACTAAGAAGCACATGCTCAACCGGTAAGCGACATGAGATGTTTGTATGTATGCATGTATGCATTCATTCCTCCAGTTACTCAGTTTCTGCATGTTTGCGTCTATAGAGATCGCACATTATTGCTTGAAAGTTGAGGATGTCCTTAGGTTGATTCATCCTGAACTTGAAATACATCCCGAGCCTGCAGCAACATCTTGAAGCTGAAGTTCCAGGTGCTGAGCCCTGAATCCTGAACCGAAGACGCCCCCCCCTGACTCAGCAAATTGTTTCAAACTAGTTAGCCGTGTTTCCGGCGTAGGCTTTGAAGTTGTTGTGCATTGCAGACTTCAGGATACAGCTATTGGCTTGCCTGTCCTACGCTGACAGTCTCTGCTTTGCGACTTGCCGGCATATTCAGCTGGAGGCTTTTGGGGTTTAAGGTTCAGGGATTGGGATACTCACCAGATTGAGGCTGTTAAGTTTGGGGGCCTCAGTGCATGCAAACAACCAAGGCCTAAGCCCTAATCCGCCATGTGACCGGACTCTGAGCCTTAACTTCATGCACGCAAGCCCTCCGCCTACAGTCTCCAAGCCAAAAGCCCCTAAACTTTCTCTGCCCGCATAGGCCAAACGAGGGAAGCTTTGCAGAGCGTGAGCAATGCTGAAACTAGGCATTCGGGACCGGCGGCACCCGTGTTTAGAGATGTTGAGGGCCTTTGATGGAGACATCCTCAGCCCCAAACCCAGACCATAAATGCAACACCACGTGGGAGTTTGAGGCAAGGGGGGACGCAAGCATAGAACCCTAAATCATAGGATCCTTACTGTAAGGGTCCGTGACAATAGGTACCTCATTCTCTCAAACCCCCGAAAGAGCTGCAACTGCACGGAACCCTTCAACCGACCCGACTTCAAGATCCCTAGAGTTGCCCAACCCGAGAATCCTGTAACCCCGCAGCCTCAGAATCCCAAACCATCCTTGCAATCGCTCTAGCAGCTTAAGCCAAGTAAAATACATAGAAACCCTAAAGCCCTACACCTCCAAACTTGAACTTCAAAGACTGAACCCCACCTTCAGGATCCTTGTCGTGATCGTCGCAGCGAACAGCCAGGTTCCTTGTTTTGGACCTGCAAAATTCAGCAGCCTCTAGTCAAGTAGTAGACCCTGAACCGCGTTTAAGCCCTGGGTTTTCCAGAGGAGAAGTTCTGTTTCTTAGGATCCGGGGCTTTGAGTGCTTTTGGAAAGAGCTTCTGGGTTAAGGGCTTTGGGGTTCAAGCTTGATTGCTTTAGGGTTCAGGGTTTAGGTTTGCGTTCCAGGGTTTGGGGTACGTAGTTTCGGGTCTCAGGGTTTAAAGGGTTGTCTGGTCCGATCTGCATCGAGTACTTTCTCTCCGGCTCTTCAGAGAATTTCCTTGCACAAGTCTGAGCACATGCAACGGAGCACGAAATTTGTAGCAACCCACATGTGCTTGTTTTGACTTGAGCTTGGGATACAGGCATCGAGTACTATGATGCCACAGCTACATATTCCTAAGCTGCCAGGTAAACCAGAAACTCTGTACCCGAAGCTTTCCCGCCATGGCAGGTGCTGCTGGAGGCCGAGACGCCATATCTCTTCAGCCGGACCCCCAGAAAGCGGTGTAGGGTTTCGGGCTTAGGGTATCGGGGATTCAGGGTTCCGAGGGTACGAGGTAGGATAGGCGGATTTGGCACACCCTTAGCACGGTGCTTGCAGGTGTTGGGCTTTGTGGTTTCAGGGTCTGGGCTGTTGGATATCAGGTCGGTGGAGCTCCGGGCTTCTTTTGTCCGGTTTTCGGTTTCAGTCTCGGGTTCAGGGTTTCCGGTTTAAGGCTTTCGTCCAGGATAATTTCCAGCTGCTTGCGCTCAGCGTCGTCATGTCGTGCGGTTTAGGGTTTCGGCCGGAGATTTTCAGGTTTGCCGTTTGCGAATTAAGCCCTAAGCGCTTCAGCCCTGAGCCCTAAACAATGAACCCTTGAGGCCCGTCAACTCCAAAGCCCTTTCGTGTCTTTCCAAGCTTCTTTGGAAAGCAGCAAGCCTCACGGAGCTCAGCTTTCGCGCTTCTAGGGTTTTGGGTTTCGGGCTCAGGGCTGAAAACCGAAGCCTTCGACCCAGCAAACCATGGGCGGATGCCACTCCTGTGCCCAACGTCCCACACTTGCTAAACTTTAGATGCGATGAGTTGTAAAGTTGTAAACCCTGCAAATCCTGCAAGCGGAGTAAAAGACAAACCCGAAGCCAGAAGCCCCTGATCCTAAGCAGCGGTAGACGCTCAAACCCGGAATCCTAAGACCCGGTTCTAATTGTGTTGTCCTCCCATGCACCAGACAGCGACCACATCTTCCACCGAGCGCAAGAAGTCAAGGTGATTTCGGCAGTTTCGGTGTAAGTCGAGGGCTTGAGCTTCGGGTTCAGGTTTGGGGTTTTGGGCCCATCTTGAAGGTTTCAAGTGGGGGGTTGTGGCCCATGGGATTCTAAGTACACTCGGTCTGAAACTGGGCACCTTGAAAGGAACAACAGGCACAGCTTCGGGATTTGGGAATTTAAGGTTTCGTAGAGCTTCCGTTCAGGCCATAGGGTTTGGTGGTTGAACACTTTGGTATTTCGAGCTTGCGCGTAGAGTTCATTACAACATCCTATAATCAAACCCAAGAACGAATTTATTTATTTAAGGTTACGAACTTTGACTCACGCAAAGGGCCTGCATATTCATCCGCGAGTATTGTCCTTAGTGCCTTGCATAGTGTTGCTAAAGATATGTAGAGTACAAAGCCCTCGAAATGCTAGCTAAGATCATCAGGCCTTTGTATGGTCTCTTCAGCATTTTGATGATGGTTCCTGCTGCAGTCCGAAGGCCCAAAGCTAAATCCTAGCGCCCCCAGACCCCAAACGCCTTAGCCCAGATCCTGACGGATCACAAAATCACAAACCCTGAAGTCACAAGCCCGGTAAACGTTCGCATAACCACAATGTACTAGATCCCACGGCCTTCAGAAGAACTCCCTACGCTTGTGAAACCCTTTGTTTCAGCATCCTGGATCCCAACAACATGTCACAAAGCCAAGAAAGTGGTCAAGAACGATTAGAAGAGTCGATGCATCAAGGCAGTTCAAGAGGTGAGATTCGTGTTGGCATTGGCGCTCCGACATGCTGGAGGGTACAGACTGTTGCTCGGCGCGTCTCGGCCAGCGCCAGAGCCTAAAGACACTAAAGACACGACACCAAAACTCGAACAATGGGGACCTATAGGGGACCTATAGGGAGTGTAGCGTTCAGGGGATTCCTCTTCCTGCACGGTGCCAAGCGGCAGGCGAAGGCAGGTGGCCTGCCTAGCCCGGACGTTATAGCTGCCACCGTGCGCCTTGGAATGATCGGGGGGGTCCTTGTCCTAAAGTGCTCTGTAGGGACTATGCCATGCTGATTCCTTGTTTTCTGAGACTCGCATATGGTCGTAGCACGATCTTCTCCCTGCAGTCCATTTTGCTAGCCTTAATTGGACCTATTTGCATGCAGGTCATATGAGCATCCATGTACAACCTAACCGTCCCAGACCCTAGACCCTAAATCCCCATACCCTAGACCCTAAATCCCCATCCTTATCAGCAGCAGAAAAACCGAAAAAAACACAGAACCATCCGAGGCTGCGGAATGCGTCGAGCTGCCAGATTGGCGCGGTCCGCGCCCCGATGAATTCTCTCTTTTTGCTACCGGAAGAGTGTGGAAGACAGGCTTTGCTTCGAGGATTGTCGATCCTTTTTGTAGGATGGCTTTGAACAACTGTTGGTCTTGTGTTGTTGGTTTCTACAGGAGGATGTCCAATCGTAGGACTTCGGATCCTGATGTCGACGTGGTTTTAGCTCGGATGTTGGGGTGGGGCCATAGAGGAAGCGACGCACCCGGGAAGATATTGGTCCAAAGGCATTGTAAGGGTTCGTTTCCTCAATCGCCACGCCACTTACAGTCATGACGCATAATGTGTTTGTAGCCACACGACGAACCATCACACACGACATCCAGATCATAACTAATCACCCTGAACCCTAACATTGCACTTGCAGAAATACGCCGCCCTAAAGCCCTACCTCCACTTCTTAGAAGCACGTCAGCTTGAATTGTAGGCTTGTGAGCGAATGGCACTCACAAGCCTTCCTTCCTAAAAACCCCTATGACCTGAATCGAACCCTGGACCCCAAAACCCCGCACTCTGAAGATCTCCTAATTCTGTTGCAGGATGCTTCCCTGCAGTGTTCTTGGTATTCTTGCACCGCTCAGACTTCCGCCTGGGAGCCTGGCTCAGGGTTCGACGGTGACGATTTCGTATAAAGTCATAGAGACCTAGAGACCTCAGATTTGAGGGTCCCAGAGTTTCTCTTTGAGTTCCAGGGCTCAGGATCCTGAGAGTTTGTGGCTGCCCAGAGGAGGCACATCCGAGCTTGAGAACTGCCATGCCACAAAGGTATGCCATGCTCCCGCATAGGACCTGCGCGCTGTTTTTGACTTGTGGTTTGGGGTTTTAGGGTTTCTCTAAGTCTAGGGATTACAGTGCTCTGAGACTCCAGGGTTCAGAGATGAAGGATGCAACGTTCGATGGTTTGTAGATACCGTTGAGGAGTGGCTTACTGCTGGTGATTTGCGGGTGTGAATTCCAAGCTGCAGTTCTGCAGACTGGCGAGACTATATAGGCCGACAATCCCTAAGCTTCAAATCCTAAGCCTCGACAGACAGCTCTAGATCCTGACAGGCCTCAGGCCCAAAACCCCATACCCCGATTCCACATCTCTGATTCCAAGATACCTACACCCTCAGTCAACTTGCAACACCCACGTTCAATCTGTCGAAAGACAGAGGAGAAAGGCCCCTGCATTCTGAGTGGTTGGGTTTCAGGGCTCAGGGCAGTAGGGTCATATGTTCTTTGTTTGTGGCTTGCTTCCGGTTGTGGTGCTTGAAAAGTGCTGCGGAAAGCTCAAAGCGCAAAATGCTAGGAGGGACTCTCGCATAATGGCTCAGGGTGTGGTTCTTATGCAAATATGCCATGCTTTTCCAACCTGAGTCTTTGCGAATGCATTGGGATACCCAAATCAGTTTCACCGTATGCTTCCTACCGACCCGACTCCACGAATATCACACTCAAATCGTCATCATGATGTTCATCATGTCCACCATCATCCCCATCAGCATCATCGGCGCCCCTGTGCAATCACCGCCACCATCCCACTATGGTTCGTGGTTGCTTTCGATGATGGCGACGGTGGTTCCTCTCTTTGCCATTTCTAGCAGCTCTTGCAGGCTCTGTTGCTTACATAGTAAGTAGGGCTATGTAGCAAGATGCATTATGGGGATTTCGATTGAGGCTTTAGGGAATACTTAGTAGCCTCCAAGCACTCCTCGAGTTTGAGGTCGTAGACCTGGACGGCCTTTGCGAGTGCGACTACCGCCTAGAAGCTGCTGAGACTCAATGCTATGCGCCTTGGCGGCCAGCGTTTATCAGGGGTTCAGGGAGTCGTTTCTAAGGATTTCGGGGCAGTACTCCGAAGTCTAAGCCTGGACTTAACTTCCTGAACCATGCCATGAACCCTAAACCAAATCCCGATACCATCATACCCTCAGCCCTGAACCCTGAACCCGAACCCCTTCTTCAGAACATTTCCGTCAACCGTACACCCACACCCCTAAACCCAAGCCTAAACTCCAGGCACATGTTGTAATGCTGCTCGTGCCGGGTGCTGTGTTCTGGACTCTGTTTGGGGCCAGTGCTTGTGATTGACTGTCTAGGGGCTAATCAACGCCCAAAAGTCTGCGCTTCTAGTGAGGCGTGCGATAGGACCTGGGACTCCAAATCCCGAGACCTCTCTACGTCTCCCGGGCCGCCACCTTTGTACAACCCCGCTACAAAACCCCAGTGGCCTGCAATGGTCTGTTCGAACTTCGAACGATGCTGACCCGAGGGCCCAAAATACAAAAGGCCTCGGAGCCCTAAAGCAAACGACCCGAAACCCTACAGGATGGAAGATGAAACTCCCGAATCCAAAATACGGATGCTACCACCACCACTGCTGCAACTACTGCCACTAAATCCGAAACCCCCAAACCCTGAACCCCAAATCCAAAACCTTAAACCCCTTGCATCCCTAAACCCCCAAACCCTACACGCCAAATCCAAACCCGGAATCCCCGAACATCCTTGAGTTTCTGACACAGTTTCTTAAGCGATTTGAGAGGCCACGGCTCGCTTTGCCGGTCTCACCGAGCCTCTGGAAGGCGGCGCGCGTCGGGGGGTTGGTCTTTGCGGCGCGGACATAGGGGCTTCTAAAGAGTTTTGGTAGGGCTTCAAGTTTTTTGCAAGTTTTTTTGTATTTACTACAGGCTTGGCAGGATTTTTTTTGGGCTGTCCTGTTTAGAGGGGCCCAGGAGATAAGCTACTTTTAGTTTGAGGAGTTTGAGATTCTTGTATGTCTATATTCTTGAAGGACAGCGGTTTTGGGTTTCAAGTTTGGGGCCTTGAGTTTGGGTTTGAGGCTTGAGCTGGGTGTTAGGGGCAATGGGTGGGTTGCTCAGAGCAAGTCAAAAAGGGGTCGACCCTACCTCAAGCTACGGCAGCGTTTTGTGGTTTGGCGGACTTTGGGGTTCGAGATTTTGCTTAAACTACCAGGCAGCATCGGGCTTCAGCATAAACCATGAGATTTCTAGAGTTTACAAGGGTCCTGCCAAACAAGATAGGCTGCGGTAACTTCGGTTAAGACACAAACCCCTTGCCAAAGTTTGTGTTTAGAGGCTGTTTGGCTCCCAACTTAAGGTTTGCATGGAATTGGGCTGACCGTCTTAGCACTGCAGGGCTCAAGCTTTACCAAGAGGGGAGTTGGGTTCAGTCTCACAACCCCATGCCCCAGATGCAACTCTAGGCCTTAAGCCCTTAATCCACAGATGTCATAATTCCTGAAATCCTCAACCCTGAACCCGAAGTCTTGGGCACCTTAACATACACTTAAACACTCAAGCAGGTGTTATGGTTTAGGGCTTTAGCCTTGAGGCTTCGGGGGAGAACTTTGGGTTGCAAGTTCTAAGGTTGCAATGCCTGGAGCCTACGGCCCAGGGCTTTGGGATTCGTGGCAGAGCACGGTGCCACTCCAGCGGCATTCATCGTCGAAAGTGCGGCATTTTGAGGGAGTTGGGCGCCGCTCGCATGCCTGCGCGACGAGCACAGTGCGCCGGCCAGGCTGTTGCAGCGGCCGGCAAATGCTGGCACCACATACCAGACGAAGCGATCGGGGTCAGACGATGCCTTCGCCGCATGCATTCAGCCCGAAAATCGTGTCTAACCGTGTGCAGCTAATCCATCCAGACCTATGCACCAGCGCCGGTAAATAAGCAGTTTGCATCCCATGACAACCGATTATGCTGGTTGCTGCCATCTGTTGTTTTTTATCACCCTAAACCTCAAACCCTGTGTCCCTGCTTCTACAGTGAAGCTGTTGAAGGCACCGCATAGATCCACATCGCAGAGCCAAGTCCTCACAACATCCCCCTCAACCCTACAGAGTTGAGGGCTCTCGAGGGTTCGTCGAGGTTTTGAAATCGGGCCAAAGCCCTACAGCCCTCCAGCCCTAAACCTTAGAATCCTCAAACCCTCCAGTCCTGAAGCCCTAAACCCCAAAACCTTCGCCTTAGTCGCACTTGAGGATTCTGGGAGTGGGCCAATGCTACTTTGGCCTCGAGGCCGAGAGCAAAGCCAACTGCTAGTTGTTGTTAGGGTGTAAAGTTTGGGGCCTTGATAGGATTCAGGGTTTGGGGGGTTTGGGGCTTGAGCATCTTTACCGCAACAGGAACCTAACAAGTGTTTTGACCAACTAGGAGCCGCAAGCCTAAGCCTCAAAACGGCTTCGCCACCAACAGGTTTAGGAGTTTAGGGTCTAGGGCTCAAGTTTTAGGACCTTTGCGCTGACTGTTTCTTGTCAGTCTGGAAGCCGGCAAGACGCCAACGGAAACCTTTCCGTTTGAGGTTTCCAGTGCATGCATAGCTGCGGGTGAATGATTGTATTTAGCTTCTGTTTTCATGTATGGACCTATGGAGGTGTGTATACAGAATCTTGCCTTCAATTTGCATGTGCCGACGTGCCTACAACGGTTTCAGCGCGTTTCAGCGAATGTGCAGGAAGAATCGGGTCGTAAAGGCTGAACCTTCTTCAGTGAATTCTGGGTGGGAGCGCATCCCTAAGATCCTATCGGTGGTCTATGCAACATATCGAACAACGAAAGCCCACATCCCTTAGACCTTTCACCTTCCACCCCGAAACCCTGAAGCAGATCCTAATCAGGCATAAACCCAACACGGAGACGGATGCTCACAGGAATACGAGCCTGAAGGGCGCGCGGCTGAACTTCGCCACATGGTCCCTGGCATCGCCGTCACTTGCACGCAGAAGCTTTTGAAGCTCCCTGGGGCTCTAAGATGGGGTTCCTGTCTCTTTTTTGGGTTTGCTTAAAGGGCCAGTGTCAAGGGCTAGTGTAATTAAGTAAGGGTTACTGTAGTGGTACAATCGTGCAATCACCTGCAGCATATGCGATGCAGTCTTCCTTGATTCATGACAGCAAATGGCTTCAGCAGCTTGATGTTTACAGGGTCCCGGAAGCTCGAAGATTGATTCTGGCCCCTACATCAGCTACTGTATATATATATATATATAGTTATATGTATATATATATATATATACATATATATATATATATATGCGAACAGGGGATAATTAGGAGCCTCTGTGGGCAGTATAAGGGACTCGCAACAAAAGGCCATAAGCACGAGGTCCTGCATGTCGGGCCATAAGCGTAGCTGCCCATATAAAGGATTAATGAGAAGTCCAGAAACGTTACTCCTGCCAAAGCAGCCACCACTCTGAATGCCTAGGATGTCCATCGGTTCGATCCTAAGCCAGAAAACCGCTCAAGACCTGAGGTTCAGATTTAGAATCTCTTTCTAAGTATTTCTGAGGGTTTTGGCAGCACTCCCACATCTTTGTTAGCCCTTGTAGTTTTGCAGCAGCAAGCAGCTGGCTCGTGAGAGCACCCCGGTTGTCGTGATTCGTGAGTAAGAGGTCAATTCACCCAACGGGGTGTTCAGGATTTGGGGCGGGGTTAAGATTTGGAGGTTTAGATGTTCAGATGTTCAGGGTCTTGGGGTTAGGGTTCTTTGATCAAGAAACCTGCCAGGGCATACGCTTGTTGTCCTCAACCCCTGTCCCAAAGAATCTCCTTATTCCGGGACACCCCAAACAACCTCCTAAGCCTGAATCCTAAGCCGCAAGCCACCGATAATTTCGAGGCCTTGGATCACCTCAACAGAAGTGTGGAACGGTCTCTCTTACTCTCACTCTATCTTTCTCTCTATACCTCTCTCTGTCTTTCTCTGTTCTTTTGATGTATGTATGTATGTATGCATGTCGTATGTGTTTGTCTCCGGTGTCTGCAGGTTGGAGCTCGAGGATTGGGACTCCGGGCGCAACTTCCTTCAGAAGCAGGCGGCGCTTCACAGCACCTCAATTATGCTTGTAGACATATGCATACCTATGTACCTGTATCTGAATGTGCTTATGTCTGTCTTTCGGTCTATCTGTCCATCTATCTGTCCGTCTATCTATCCATCCATCGATCTATCGCCATCTGCCTACCTATCCATCTCGTCGAACCTAGCCACTCTAGGGCCTGCTTTCAGGGTGTGTAAGGCATGCAGGCCATCTGGGACAAAGGCAACACTCGGTTTCGAACTGCTTAGGTTCAGCCAGGGAGGGGGCCCCAGTGTAGCTGCAGAGTGGAATCCTCAAGAGCCCTAGGTTTGCGAAGCACCTGCCAACCAGTCATCGCTAGTCACTGCTAGAGCCCAGAAAGGTTCGGGTCGGGGAACCCTAGACCCAAATTCCAACGACCCTCACCCTGGAGCTCGAAGAGCGCTAACCTGAAGCCCTTGCATCCACAACCCGAGAACACTTAACCCTAAGAGCCCAGAGCCTTCAACCCTAAACCCCGAACACTTAAAGCCGAAACCGTGTCAGATCGCTTCTCAACTGCCAGCCACGGCGCCGGAAGATTGTTTCGAAGCCCAGTGCTCCCATGGCTGCAGCAAAAAAGGGAACGTTCAGGATTGGAGGGGAGAGGGGAGGGAGAGCTTTCACTTTTAGGGGGCAGTCAGGGCATGGGTCCATTGGGAGTTCAGGGTTCATTATTCTAGCTTTGCAGTGTTTCCGAGTGTGCAGTGCTGGGGTCCCACGCTTGAAAATTGAGGGTTTGGGATGAGAGACTCGCAAATGTCTGCCATTGCCACGGAGATCTCGTCAGCATCCTCAAGACTCGATTCCTGAACCCGAAGCCGTGAAGCGCCGCAAGCAGAGAAGCCCCTCAGATCCTGACCTGGGCTTCTTCAAAGTCGTACAGTAGCCGCTTTGTTTGCGTTTTCTTACCGGGCATGCGGCCACCTTGCTAACACTGTGAAGCTGTTTATGGTCCTATGGCACCCTCCCAAAGCGCAAGTCAGACATTTCATTCACTCAGCCTTACATCCGTAAATCTTAGTTGAAGCTTTAAATCGAAGAAATGAAACCCCAAGAAAACGTCGAAAGCCTGTAGACTTCCTTCCGTCGAGGCTACTGCGGCTCGGCTCGCTGCAACAGAACCAACCGCTGGCTTCGCCTAGGCATTGTTTTTTGCACACTCACAGATACTTTTACCTCTTCGGGTCTCTTGATCTCGGGGTCTCGGGTTTTTTGGGGGAGCTCGGCTCTTTCCGGTCTGGGTGAGCCGAAGTGTCTTGGACGAGAGAGTTTTCTTACCCTTGGGGGTTGGGGCAGGTCTCGTGATCTATCGGATCTAGGCTTTCTTCCCTTGACGGTGCTTGAGAAGTGTTGGGGGCCTTGGCCGAGTGGGGGTTTGGGGCTTCAGGGCCCAAGGCAGAGGGATCAGGTACAGAAGATGGTGACTGTCGCTTGAAAAGGGTAGTAATTAGGCTTCTAAGGAGTAAGACAATGCATGGCTTGTCCTGCTTGAAGGATTTGGGGATTTAGTTAGCAATAAGGGTTGCTGTAGATCTAACCCGACTTATACCCTACGTACCAGGTCCCCTGATTTCTGAAGTAAGGTGTGTCAGCTCTACCAATATCTTCGACCTGACCTTGGAGGATTTCATAGGACTCGTCGTGGATGTAGGGGCCTGAACGGTTGGAAGGAACATCGACTTGTGGTCCCATACGGGTAGTTTTCTAAATTAGGTTCCCTTCTAGGTTCCCTTTTATAAGAGTGCCGTACTATTTTGGGGACCTAAAAGGGGACCCTAACTTAGAGAACTACCCATATAGTCCGGGCACTTTTTTCTAACTCGAAGCTCAGGTGCTTTAAACCTCAAGCCTCTTTCCCTGAACCCTAAAAGCAACGGCGTAGGGCTTAAGGGTTTCATGGCTTTGAGGGCGTTCCTTGATCCCCTCAGCTCCGAAACTATAGTGCTGCTTTAAACACTTGACCCCAGAACTACACCATAGACCTTTGTACGTTGTCAACCTCTAGATAACCCACCAGACGCCGTAAGCATCGGGCTCGCGGTTTCATGGAACTTTGAGGAGTTCTGGCGCGTTGTAGGACTTGGGGGGTTCGGCTATTCTGAGTTTCGGCTTATAAGAAAGGCATCGAGGGCAAATTATGTGGAGCAGCCACCTTTCCTTCCATGGGTTGTGCTCCTCTGTCGACCAGCCCGAAGTCGCAACAGCCCTGCAACTCCCACAAAATCAGGAACAGCTTACAGAGCCACTCGAACCCCCAAACCTTTCGGTTCCCTGTCTCTGACGAGGACGCCTGTCGGCACCGGGAAGCAACGCCAGCAGCGACCCAGAAGCTGGTGGCAGCAATGCGACCGAGACGATGGCCCGGCATTTCAGGGTTCCGGGTTTGAGGTTATGATCTGTAACATAATATACTTGTGGTGTATACTCTACTTTGCTGGTCTTGTGGTGTATACTCTACTTTGCTGGTTTCCGGTGGATCGTTCAGGGGTTGCTTGGGGTTTCGGGTTTAGCATAGACTCGCTGAGAGGTTGGGGTTTCAGTCTGGTAGCGGTACAACAAACAACAACCTTGAACTTTCGATGGGATTCGAAAAAATCGCTGTTGGTTCTGGGGGGCTTTATAGTCCTACAGATTCTTGTCAGGAAGTGGTCGTCGTGTGGGGCGACAAGGCCCCTGCTTTCATTTTCGGGCTCCGGAAGTTTTGCTGTTGAGTTTAGTGATCGGGCTTCAGCGGGGCAGTTCGGATTAGCCAGAAGTTGACGTGACGCTTGCATTTTTCCGGGGCTTATAAGGCTTGGGAGCCTCCTGATTTTCACGCCTTGTGAAGTTCGAGGCCTAGGCCTAAGTTATATACAGAGCTGTGATTAAGATTAAGCTCTTAGGTGTTGATTCGGTCTTTGGATTTGATGGCGCCGACCCCGAATCAAAGAGCTTTGGGAATTCATCCAAACCAGACTAAGCACCCATCCCGAACCCGAAGCCCTAGGCCCTATAGGGCTTACTATTCAATCCAAAGTCTTCAAGGTCCGGATTCTGCTGGAGCTCGCACCCGGAGCCAACAGGGGAAGGAAGAGAAACGGGTTTGGGGTTGAAGCTTCCCTTGATTTAGTTTTCCCATGATATCGCAGTTCAGGACCTTTAACCTTCGCAACACCCTCAGCCCTGAACTAACATGTCTTCAAAGAGACGCTCAAAGCCATGCAGAGCTTGAAGCCTCGAGGTTCAGGTTGGGGGCTCAGGAGGCTTCAAGGCGGAGAGTTTACGGTTTGCGCCGGGTTCAGGATTTAGGGTAGGCTTGGAATGCAGCTGCGGAAGTACTAAAGGGAGGCCGGGAACGGGCTGCGTTCTGCAACCAAGGCTTCCACCCTTAATCCTAAATGCCGAAGCTCAAAAACTCGGCCCTACGCCCTCCATCCTCAGCCCAAGCCCTCAACTTCCGAACGCTCAAGCGACACAGCCGTCTCTGCTCACGGTTCTGGGGACGGACCACTTGTCATCACTGTGTAGCTGCAGTACGATGCGCTTGGGTTTAGGGTGAGGGTTTGCCCGCCTAGAGTGCTAGCTTCACTTAGGTCAGGGTTGTCATGACATGAAGCTTTGCAGACCGTGCTTTTTTGTCCCTTCGTCACATTGTATAGCCTGGCATGCTTCTCCCACCAAGCATACCCATCCTCTGAAGCGAGTCCCAAACCCTGAATGCATATCCCACGATTCAACTCCCGAAACCCAAAGCCCCAAAACCAAACCCCAAAACTCCGAGACCCTAACCAGAAACCTAGCCCCCACACCCCACACCCGGCTCCCGGGCGCGGCCTTTCCCGTAACAACGGGCCCCTGACTCTAGCGCCTTGCAGGTGGGCCAAGCATTAGACCTGGCAAGTCTGGAGGCCTCCGTTTCACATGGCATGATTCCTGCGGGATTCTACAGCCATTGGGAGTCGAGGGGTCTATGGTTGCGGGGCTGTTGGTGGCGAGAGAGCTTTCGAAACTTGGAGCTTAGCCGCTTTTGTTTGCGGCTGCAGTAAGTTCCGGAGGTTCCGGGTTTAGGAGTTGACGGGTTTAGGGTTCGGGGTTGGGCATGCATGCCTTCGGGGCTTTCCTGGTCTTGCATCCTTGCATAAAGCCCGCAGGTGGTCTTAAAGGCTACCCGGGAACTCTAAACATCCCCTCAGACTCAAGTCCTAGACCTCAAAACCCTAAAACCATGAGAATAAGCCAAAAGCAAAGAATCCCGAAAGTGTTCTGGTTCGAAGCCCTCAAACTGTGGTTCGAGTTCCGTGAAGGAATTCGAGAGGACTCCTCTGAAAGGATTCGGGCCTCCCCCCTAAACCCTAAACCCTAAAGCCCTAAACCTTAAACCTTGAACCTCGAAGGCCCAGAGGCAACTCTATGCCTTCTGCGCGGCGACCATGCCGGACCTCGAGCTACTTGGAAATTAGCTTCGGGTGCCTTTTAGGGGTTTGAGAACCTAGGGGTTTAGGGTTTGGGTCTGAGGTTCCGGGGGTAGGGTTTAGGTTTTTGTTTTTTTTCCAGATTAGGGGTGTGCGGTTTGTCAGGCTTGTGATAACGAGCCGCTTGGAAGAAGCTTTTGCTGCCCTTTGCTGAGTCTCACAGAATTTTTATTCGGTTTTGAGGCTCGGGGTTCGTGCTTTGGCGCACCAGGTTTTGTTGACTTAGGGTATCGTGAAAGACGTCTTCGAAGCCCTACATTGTAACAGCCCAACGCGCTTAAAGCTTAAGCCCAAACTCCTAAAGACCCTCCAAAACCCAAAAGTCCTGAAGACCCTGTGACTGGCCAAGGATCCTATCTCGCAGCTGCTGGGCCCTGGACTTCAAGCTGCAGCCTTGCGAAGGGCTCTGGGTTTGTAAAGGTTCACAAGGGTTGATAATTTATCAGACCAGCATTTAGGGATTTACAGGAGTCTTCTTGGGCTTTCTGGTGTTTTTGGAGGCGGGTTTTTATATGGGTTTTGGTGGTTCAGGGCGGCTCAGGGTTGAGGGTTCTTTTGGTAAAGACTCAACCTTTAGAACTTGGAGGGTGCATCTACATATGCCCAGCAACAGCAGTCTTCAGCCGGGATTTGGCTGTTATCTCTCACTCCAAAACCCCCGAAGCCGTGCATCCTGGACCAAATCTACAAGTGTTCGCCATTTAGGAAGTTCAGGTTCTGAACTTGCAGGAGAGTCAGCGTCAACTAAGTAGGCTGCAGTTCGTCCATGCACCTCCGATGTCCAGCCTCCTTGCAGAGAGGCCCTGCGTCATCCGAACCGGAAAGGCCGTATCCTCCCAAAAACCTGAAGACTTTGGGGTTTCAGGGCTTAGGGTTCGGTTTGAGTCTCTCTATCTTTTGAGGTGCATCGCTACCACCGAGACTAAACCAACACCGAACCTGAATATCCTTAAAGCCCTGCTGGCTTTTTCGAGGCTGGTAGTATAGAGGATCCAAACCCCGATCAATCAGCCCACTCCTTTTCGGGGCCTCAGCTCTCCGAACTGCGTAGACTCACCAAGCTCTATCCTCTTGAGGCACTTTAAAGCCAGAGCCCATAGAGCGCTTCACGGCCCCATCCCGAAAAACCTTCACTTGATCCTGATAACTATATAGAAGCCTGAACAATTGCCAATCTTGTTCCGGAGAGCGTCCTTACTACTTGCATTTGTATTCTATATTCATTATTCCCATAATGATTGTTATTAACCCTAACCCCTAAACCTCAAACCCTGCACCCTAAATTGTTATTATAGTTGCACTGTACACATACCACAAAAGCCCTTTGACTCCTAAGGCTCTGGCTGGAAGCAAGGGGAGAGAAGTTTCCGGTGCAGCCGACGCCCCGGCTTTCGGAGACTTTAGGAAACCCCAAAGAAAGCGTTTAGGGTGTACAGGGTTTACAGGGCTTACAGAGTTTTGTCGGGTTTGCAGGGCTTGTAGGGCTTATAGGGTTTATAGGGTTTAGGTTCAGGGAGCCGGAGCATCGCCAGGAGCAACCAAAAGCTCCAAATCCCTAAAGCCATGCAGCCAAGCCTCGGAGAGCCATCGGACAACCGCACCCTCCAAATTTTGATAAATCACCACAGAAGCTTCCAACACACACGTAGAGCCCCAAGGCGAACCGGAACGTTCCTTAGACAGCTCGTGGGGTGCAGGAATTGAATAGAAAGTTTGCGGTTCAGGGCTTTGGGGGAGAGCGTTTGGGTGCCAAGCTGCTTGCACTTTCATGCCCTTGTGGTTGCCAGGGCTCCGGAGTCAGGCGAAGCTGGTCTTCGAGAGTTAGCATTTTAGGATGTAGTGTCTGTGTATTAGTTGGGATTCAAGGTGGAGGTGTTGACGATTTCGTGCCCCTTCGCCTGCGGGGCCTTTATGCTCTTCGTCTTCACCTCTCAAGCTGCCGAACTTCAACCTACAGCTTAGATGTATAGTTTTGTAAACTAGGATCTCTTCTGTGGTCCTCCTGATCAAGGAAAGTCTTACCCTTTGCGTAGATAGCGGTGTCCGGAAATCAGCTTTTAATTTTTGCATTTCGCGGGAAGTAGTCTCAGGACAATCATGGTTTGTGCTAGGGTTAGGTCGCATATTCTTCTGACCGCAAGCTCGCAAGCTTTCATGTGTTGAGTCTCAATCAGCACACCCTGAATCCAAAAGTGTTAGAATCCAAACCTCAAATCCTACATGCCTACACGCCAAACTTTCAACCCTAAACTCCAAAACCCAGATCTCGCACCTCCTTGCCTTCAGCATCCTGGAAGGACCCAAGACTTTTGGGCCATTCTGGAGTCCTTTGCTGCCGACGAGGGCATGGAGAAGGACTCTTGGACTCTCCGGTTGAGTTTGTCGGGTAGTTACCGAAGGTGTATCTCACTTCTAAACGCTTGGTAGGGCTTCAGGGCCTGGGGCAGGGGGTTTAGGATAAAGTCTTTAGATAGCAGAAGGATGAGCAGTTGCACAGGGGTTGTGAAGAGTTTGTTGGAGGTAGCTATGGACAAGTGTGAAGGTGTGCAGCAGCTGGTAATACTGTGGAAGCGCAGGGGCATTGTCAGCCTCCGCCAGAAGACTTTACAGAGATCTTCACTCCGTTGCTGGCCGCGACAAGATGTCTGCTGTCGGATGATAGACGCCTAAGTCCTGGCGCTGGCACCTCCGTCCCGACGTTTGCGTGCTGTCCGTGATGTAGCCACACTTCGGCGTTTAGGGTTCCGGGTTTGGAATTATTGTTTGAAGATTGCCGTTGGCTTCAAGGTGTGGGAGATTTTGCCCCCCGCTCCACGATCGCAGACTGTCAGTTCGTATGGCATTCAACAAATGAGCTCGGGGTGTGCATGAACTGCTGTCATGGGTACTACAGGACAAGGTTCCTGAATAAGGATGCAATACCATAATGTAGGGGCCTTGTGTTGGGGGTTCGAAGATCGCGGATCGAGCGGAAGCCCCACTCCGCAGCTTAGATAGTGACAACGTCGATGTTGGTAGGGCTGGGGTCCGGCAACTTGGGAAGACGATCTGAGCTCTGTGCCTTTCCTCCGAATTGCGCAAACCCGCTCATTTTCCGGTGCTTCAAAGGTCTTTCCCCAAAACCCAAACCTTCGACCTCGACAGGAAGCACGACTGGGGTCCGCTGTTGAATTAGAATGTAGGGTGGTCAAGATGAGGTCAATTATGAGGATTTGAGTAGCTTTGTTGGGGATACCAAGCAGACGTACCCTCAATCCTTGAACCCGAAACAGTGGCCGAACACCGAGACCTTTTTGTATCTGAACCCCAAACCTGCAAACCCCAAGCCCCAAACCCCTAAACCCGAGACCTCCCCTGGTCTTCCGAAATCATGCGCTGCAGTATTTCTGGTACGAGACCGGTGGTTGGGAGCCCCAGAGTTCAGTCGGTGTGCGCTGGTGATGTTGGCAGCCGTAGTCGGAAGTATCACTGGAATGATACGAATAATGCCTGTTCCGATCATCACAATAATGTCAATAATGACGAGGATGGTGATGATGAAGATGAAATATTCATGAAGAACAAGAGGAGGTAGCTCAATAGCTAGCAGGACGAAGAGCCTGATCATCGGTGGAACTGCCATGCTTGCAAAATCTTGCTGGAGCACTTGGGAGATGTTTTGAAATGAGGAGTATATCAGACCAGCCTTGTTGTTGCGACCACTTGCTGTCTTGCAGAAGGTTGTGAGCTCTGGGGTTTCCTGTTCCCTACCGGTACGATGGAGATTTCTAGAGCTTTATAGGCTTATTGCAGGTGTGCTAGAATAAGTATTGTACTGGAGCTAATGAAGCGCTGAAGTGTAGGGTCCATACTCCAACAATCATGCGTTCTTACCCTGCGTAGTTATAGGCTCACTACTTCGCTCTGCGGATGCGAAGCCACCGGTCTTCTCATACGTCAACCGCCTACGAGAACCCTCTGCTGCAAATGGTCGAAATTCGGAAAGTAAGCAAGCGAGCCTTGTGTGCCGCTTGATTACCGTCCTTACAGCCTGACAGCAAAATACCTCGAAGGAGTCCCGAACTTCAAGAAGTCTCCGCAATGCAGGGTTTAGGGCCAGTTTAGGGTTTGGGGTTCAGGGTTACTAGTGAGCTTTTGCAGTGTTGCCCTCCTCGCAACAATCCCGAAATCCTAAACACGGAACATTGCCTAAGATCCTAGATCTTGCAGCCCCAAACCCTCCAAAAGTAGGAACCCTCCACAAGTGTTGAACGCCTACTTGTAGAGCCCGACATCCTTAAACTTCCTACAGCCCTAAAGCCCTCAAAGCCTCCAAAATCTCAAGCCGCCCGTAGCTCCGATCCCGTAGTCAGTCCCATTGCCCTGAAACCACTAGGACCCTACAAGGCCTCCAGCGTTTGAATCCCACATCAGTTGGCCTCGTGGGCACCTTCGCGATTTTCTCTGTGCCTCTGGTTTCCGAAGAGGAGGCGGCCACTGTCCGCGGACGTGCGGGGCCCAGGACTTGCTATCGCCCTGGGATTGGAGTTTATGGGTTTCTTCGAAGTATCTAATGGAACGTAAAGCCTGGTTGTGAAATCCATTCTTTCAGGTCATTAACTATGATTAGGATTCTGGCCACGACACGGAGTATGGGAGGGGGGATCAGGGGTCTAGAGTCCAGAGTAATGTTGAAAGTGTAGCGATTGCTCTTGGAGTTTAGGGGATTTGGATGCAAGGTTTTATGGGTTTTAGTAGGTTCGGGAGTGAGGTCGCAGATTGTTGAGCTTAGGTCATTCTTTATATTATAGCCACCACAATAATTTAAATATCCATACTATTCCGCAGGGTTCCCAAACATGTCTGTGATGTCATGTTATAGTGTATTGAAATGCCTGAACTTAAACCCTAAGCTTGGTTCTTCACGAACCTTGCACCCCTGTAGCTTCGTCCGGGGATTGCAAATACTCTGTTGATTCAGGCGCAGACGTGATAAACATGTCCCCAGTGTAGATGCGATCCCTGCAACTGTACAGTAGTGTTGTAGGTCATGGCTTCCCTTTTTGACAGGGCGGGCTTCGACGGGTAGTTTAGGTCTTGAGTTACGAGTGAACCGCAGTATTTCAGTCACTAAAACGCGGCTAAACTTCGTACAAAGAGCCACATAGAGCCTGTCTAGGGTATGCTCAGCACACGTCTGAATCACATGAAGCCTTAAGCCCTAAAGCTGCGAGCCCTATGCTCAAGCGACTCTTCGAGAACCTAAGGTTGGGAGTCCTACCTGAGCCTCAGGCACGCGGGATGCAGTGGAAGTCGGGAGGAGGGCTTAACAAAGTGTTCTAGTTCTAGGAAGGTGTAAACGGCTTATATGAGGATTCTGCAAGGGTCTGTAGTCTACAGTCGAAATAGCAACGTTTGTAGTGAAGATCGCCACAGCGAGATAAAGACATAAGGTATGTTACACGTTATCAACGACATTGTGACAGTTACAACAGTGACGCAAACTGCGCTAAGAATGTGAGCAACCGTCGTCGAGCGACGTGGAGCTTTGTGTTACACCGTCTGTCCGCTCGTTGCATCATCTCACGAGTCTATGCCGCAAGCTCTAAAGCCAGACCCCACGCCCCCCCCCCCCCCCCCCNNCCCCCCCCCCCCCCCCCCCCCGGAAATCCTAATCAAAAGGGGAGGCTTTGAGGCTTTAAGGGTTCAAGCTTTAGGTGTAGGGTCTTTGGCAGTTGTTTGAGTTAGAACGGTTTAAGGTGTTGGCTTTGGATATACAAAAATAAACCTTCGTTCAAGAGCCGTGGTCGCTAAGCCGTTTGTCGTTGAAGCTGCCAGCACTCGCACCCTGAACTTCAAGCCGACAAGCCAACAGCTGGCGCACCTTGTGGCTACCCCAGATATTTATTGGTGGCATACTTGGACAGACAGCCACCTTACCATTGGTTTTCTGAGCATGCGGTGGTACGCCAGAGGGCTGCATTGCAGCTGCAGGTATGGCGCATGTGGCATGCGGGAGGGCAGCGTGGCAATCATGTAATCCACCCCGCTGCAGTCGTAAAGGAACCATTCAAGCAAGTAGCAAACAGCCAGAAACCTGGCTCTGAACCTTAACGGCAGAAGTTGCATCACTCTCCGAAACAGGAACCCAAAGCACACTAAACGTCACTAACCTCTAAGCGGTGAAGCCATCGTTCCGAATCCTTCATCCTTGGCCCGAAGGCTTGGGCTCTGCCCAAACTCAGACAGGGAAAGACACCAAGGTCTGAACTCCAACAGCCTTATGAGACCTTGTTATAAGGGCCCCTTAAACAGATGCCGCAATTTTAAGAACCCCTTCATAGGCCCCAAGTCAGAAGCCACCCTGAACCCCCAAGACTTGGACCGGTAGAGCTTCAAAAGGATACACCGTGGAGTGGGGGCAGGGCTGGTTTGAGGTAAGAGTCTAGTGTTAATGTTGGGCTTAGTTTTAGGGTTTGCAGGCTTCACTTGTTTGCACAAGCTTGAGACGCCTAAGCACTCGACCTTCAGCCGCAAGACTCTCTCCAAAGCCTGAGCCTTCTGAGCGTGAGGCCTGGCATTCCAAGCCAGCCCTGGTTGGTCGCAGAGGCTCTGCAGGCCAGAGGGCAGACACTTAGAGATGGGGTGTGGGGTTCGTGACAAGGATTTGCCGTGAGGCTTGCAGCCTTGCTACGGGGACCCCTAGCCTGGATAAGGGACCACAACTTTTGGGGGTGAAGCCTCCCAAGCAGGCAGTCAGAGTTGGGCTTGCAGTCTCGAGGGTTTCAAGGGTTCAGACAACGGTTCAGAGATGGGTGTTTTGAAGGGGTATAGACTACAGAGCATCATGATTTAGAGCAAGACGTAGGGACTTGGGAGGGTTTAGGGCTCAAGCTCCAGAGATAGTTTCAATGACATTAGCAGTGACGGCTTGGGGATTCCTTAGGGTCTTGGGTTACAGGGTTTTCTTGGAGGTCCTGGGGCCTGAGGAGTTTCGATAAGTGTATTGGCTCTGAGCATAAGTAAATATTGACACACACACACACAACGTTTGACAGCACCTGCAATATGCCAACATGCATGTGCATGTAATCATTATGTTGTGTTGTGTTCCATGTTACGTGTTAATATTTTGTCTTCAGCATGCCGCTCATTTACTGATTGAAGTGACTGGCCAGAACCATCCACACTATAGTCCTACCGACGAAGTCACGGTCTTTCCACGTATACAGGTACACAGCCAGAAAGGGGAGGTATCGATTTGAGATCAACTTCCGCGGCCTATGTACCAATCTCTGCTTGACCTTAATATGACTCCAACTATGGGCATTCTGGCATATTCTTCATTGTGGATCATGCAGGGTCTTGTCCATCTCCTGGATGTGGCCAACCCCCGCCCTAACCTGACAAAGCGACCGAATCATGGCCATGCCCTCCAGATGCCCTACACCACGTATCGTGTAAACCAAGCTACAGAACCCTTAAGCCTAAACCCCATGATACTCACAGGAGGCCGGACGGCCCCTGCACCCTTCGCCCAAATTCGGACCTCTCCGCTCCTCCCCGCAACCCTACTCAAAGCTTAGGCCAAACGCAAAGCCCAAAAGCCCCAGAAGTTGAATCAGAGCCCGAAGCTGCCTTTGTTTTTTTATTTGCAGAAGTGCACCCTGCTGCAGCCACTTGTTTCACTCTTACGACAACAATTCAACAAGCATGGCCTGCAACAACATGTTAAAGGTACTCAACAAAGAATCCATCTACATTCCACAAGCAAGCGTGGCCTCTTAGGCCAACAGGCCAAGTCAGGCCCAGAACATGGCCCGAGCCATTGTGTATCCCTAGCTGCACGACTCTCGCAGCGCCAAGCCAACACCCTATGACCCCAGAGCGCCAAACCCACAACCCTAACCCCCAGAACCTCAAACACTGAATCTCCAAACCCTAAACCCTTTAAACTCTCAGCAAGACTGCAGCCAAAGAAACATAGCATGGGAAAACTCAGCGATAGCGGAGACTCCCTTTCTGGCGCAATCCTCCAGGCTCTCTGTCTTTGATAGGGTCTAGATGGGCTTTTGGGATTAGGGTTGGGCTGTATCAGGGTGTTACAGGCCTGTAGAACGGATTCACAGGGTGTCCTCCGGGGCTTGGAATTCGGAAATGACCGTAGCCCTGACTAGCAAGATCGTTCCTATAAGATTCCCAGAACGGACCCCTCCCAATATTCCGAAATCTCAGCAAGGATGTAGCAGTAGCTTGAGGGTTCGAGGATTCAAGGTTCGAGGCCTTAAGGATTTAGGGATGCAGGTGTTGATGAATTCTGGGGATGCACCCCAAAGCTTTGCTGTTCACAAAGCTTACCCGGCTGCGAGTCTTACTTCCCTTCCTGAGGACTCAATACGGAAAGGAACAGGAACCTGTAGATGCTACATGGCCTTATAATAGCAGTGGAGGAGCGACACCACTCAAGATAGTCATCGCTGCCATGATGCTAAATCAACACTGACATCCGCCATCGTCACCAGGACTCAGCACCACCACCGCCACCGCCAGCACCAGCTCCACCGCCAGCACCACCACCACCACCACCGCCACCACCACCACCACCACCACCACCACCACCACCCCCACCACCACCACCGCTCAGCAGGCAGCAAGCAGCGTGTCTGGAAACCTCAAACCCTCTACACCAAAGCCCAAAAAACCCTTGCAATTGACATTGAACAACCTTTAACCTTGAGCCTGTTTATTGTTTCGGGCGCAGCCCTGGATGCCAGGTGCACGGGGTTGAGAGAGATGCCACTAGTCGGGAGATGCACATCCTGTTCAGTGGCTGCGTTTCTCAGCTCAGGAGGAGAGAGTGTTCAGGGCTGTAACGCTCAGTGTTTTACGGTTTTAAGGGTTTCAAACTTAGCATGAACATCCAGGGTTTCGGGGATAGAAGTTTGAGTTTACGGGTTGGGAGGTTGAGCGGATTGATTCTGAGCTTTGGTGGCATGGAGAGCCTCAGGCTCTCGGGCTGTGTGGCAAGAAAGCCTGCAACAAATAGGATAGCTCGCGAAAGGCAGCATGCTTGCGAGTTTTTCAAGAAAAGGTGCCTGATTTTCATAATTGGCAGTGCTGTTTGCCTGCCTGTGGCTGCCACGAACACAGCAAGACTGGTGTGACCAGCATCGGATTTCATACTTAAGTTTAGCACGAACGCGATTATCGCTATCCTTTCCACGACCGCCGTTCTTACTGTAATTGCCACAACTATGGAGATGTGCTTTTCTTTGCACCGCTCTGATAATTTGCGATTGTTATAGTTCATCGTCTCCTTCTTGCAATTTGCATTGTCCATGAGGTGGGCTACATCAGCGCCTCCCTTTCTGAGGAGGGCTCAACGAAGATCGGCGCAGCTCGGCAGTCTCCTACTTGCGGTGGCTGTAAGGTTCTCGAGGTTTGAGATGTTGCCAGCTGCCATGCACGAACTCCGCTGCATACAGTTCCTAGCTGCCAAAGCATTGGAGCGGGACCCAAGCGTAGAAGGCCCGAAGGTTTAGGGTTTCAGTGTTCAAGGCTTTAGGGTTGAGGGCTTTAGGGTTTAGGTTGCGGGGGGTTTTGGGTTTGTAGGGTTAGCTAGGGCAGCGAAGGTCTTGACAAGAAACGCATCAACACCCTGCAGGCTTTGGCGGATTCTGGAAAAAGTGCGTAGCCTCAGTCCCTACACCCTAAGCCCTAACATCCTGAAGCGTAATTCCCGCAGCCCAACCAAAGCTCTAAGCTCTTGGAATGCCCTCAGATCCTAATCCGACCGTCCAGCACGTTGCGGCATATGAGGCCACATGGAACCGTGCGGAGAAAGCCCGCACAACCTTCAACATAGCACCCCAAAGCTCGAACCCCCCAATGCCCTGAACCCCAAAACCGAAAAGTGCAACACGCACAACTCCAATCGCCCGACAAGCGAGGTCGTGCAGTTCGACTCTGCCGAGTCCGCCTTCCAGGCCGAAACCCTAAATCCCAAGCCCTAAGCTAAGCTTCCTTCGGTCAGAGATTTGGAGAGTTTTGACTTGTTTTGTCACTTTGGGCTCAGGGTTTTGGAGTTTTCTCCCATCTCGGGCTTATGGGTCGGAACTCTTGACATTTGGGTTTGGGGGCTTGGGTTTTGATTTCGGGTTGAGGGTGGTAGGGTGTAGGGTTAAACTCGGCTTGTGTCTAGATTAGGGGCTGGGGCCTTTCAGTGGCCTGCACTTGTCAAGATCTATGAGTCTATGAGTAGCTGGCAGCGTTGCTGTCCCTTCGAACACCATTAGTCAACCTGGTGCTGCCGGAAAAAGCAAGTGCAATGCTCTTGCTTTCAATTCTATTCTGTCCGGCTTCTGTACATGGCCCCAAGGCTTAGAAGCAACAGGCTGCGGATGGATTGTTTAGGTTTAGAGAGGGTTTTGGAGTTGTTGGCAAACTCAGTTCACTTGTGTTCTAGCTCGTAGTGCTCAGCAGTCAGCACAGTCGAGGATGACGCTCGCAAAGGGTCGATCACGACTACACACTACAGCACCAGTTGCTGAGCTCTCGTCAGCATTTCCTGTTTTGCGTTTTCCCCTTGCACCCAGTATGGGCTCCTACACGTTGGAGCAGAAGGGCTGGGGATGGTATGATTTCACGATATGACTGCATCCTTTCTCTTTCTTAGATACTGTCCCAATTTGATTCTGTCTTTTTGCAGGGGCCAGGCTAGCAAGAGACGCTCGCGCTTTGGTGTGGGCCGCCGTGATCCACTGTACATTGCAACAGGCGTGCAGTCCGGGTCCCGAAAGTGGCAACCTTTTCGGGATTTCGTGTGATCGGCAGGAGCCTCTGCTCTATAACGCCAATGCATGCGACTCCTTCGCCCTCCGCTCGAGGAGCCCTTGCGCTGTGTACAGCATGTCGTCTTCCTCCGAACGGTACGATCCTTCGCATATTCCAACGCACGGCGCTCCTCGTGTCAATAAGTACACCGCGCCCCGCTCGTTTTCGCATGCTGCTCCGATGGAGACCAGTCCGGTAGAGAGCATCCCCACATTGCCTCATGCCTTTATAGTCGAATTTGGGAGCTTCAGACACCTAAGGACCCTTATGTAACTGTAAACCCCAAATATGTTAGGATCCTTATTCTGATCCTCATTACACTACAAAAGCCCATCCGCAAGGTGTAAGTTAAGCACATAATTAGCAAACCCCACTCTCACCTTGTAAACTTGGTCAAGCCAACAGCAACAGAAACCTATGCACCCAACCCTCGATGCCCTAAACACCTCCTCCGCAAGGAATCAAATTTCACTATATGGGGTTTAAGAGCCCTCTCGGAATGGGGACCGTAGGGTCCGCTTACCACTTTTGTGAAAGGCTTCCGTGTGTTCTGGACCCTGTAGACCTCATCATTACGACTGAATATGTAATCAGATAGTCGAAACTACTGAAACCTCGAACAAGCCAGAGGCATACTTACATCAGAACCATTTGCAGCCCCATGAAACCCTTCTTGAAACAGTCACACCCTCTGTGATACCCTTCTTCGAAAGGCCGCTCATGCACGCAAGGGCTCCTCTTGGGATCCGGCGACGGGTCCTGTGTCGCCCGGTAGAGGGAACTTCCTCCTATTGGACCTTTGGAATTTGCAGAGACGGGCTTTTCAGGAGTTTGGCTGTCTCGGGTTTAGCGTTTTTTTGTCGTGGATTTTCGGAGTTTAGAGATTTGGGTTCCCGGCTCAAGAGTTTCGGGTGTTCGGGCATGCGAGCCCTTCCAGCCCCACCAAAACAGTGAATTATGAATGAAGGCATTTTCTGGGTCCTGTAGGCTCTTTGAAGAGCGTTTTACAAGGGTCGACATTACAAGGGCTTCGCAAGGGTTTAAAAGGGTTTTGAGCGTTCAAGAGATTCGGGGTTTTGGGGTTTCGGGTTCAAGGTTCGGTTCGGTGGTTCAGGAATGGGCGATGGGGGATCAAGAGTTACAGGTTTAGGGCTTCAGGGCTCCAGGAGTTTAGAGATGCCGGTGTAAAGTCTGAGTACCGTTGAATTCGTAACTTCTGGCTCCGATGCAAGGCTCCTTCGACCGGTGTCAAGTCGCGCATCCGAGATGACAAGGAGACGAATGCAGCCACTGAACCTGTCGAGTCTCGGAGAGAACGGAGTAAGTAAGAAGACAAGAGATACTGTATCAGTCTTTGTGGTCGTACCAGCAACTTTCAAAGGGTCCTACTACCTCGAAGCGGTTCTTTTCGACTCATGACCGAATATATACTCCGTCCGGCACAGAAATTATTGCTTGCGTGCCCGTGTTGTCGCGGCCATGTTTTTTCTTCTGCTTAGTTATTTGAGGTTGTGAAGACAAGATTATGTCAAAGCTGTATCCCTGGAGACCGCGAATCCCTAGACCATCAAGTCTTGCAGCTTCATTGAATCCTAGAAGTTTGCACAGATGGACTTTCCAATGCCTCAAAGCTGTGATGGCAGGATGGTGCTCAATGATACCTTTGATCTCTAAACGCTGAGGCTTGCCGACATGCAGGGGTAGGCCCCTATAGCTTTATGGACTTCCGTACAGAACCCCATAAACCTGTTTGTCGAATCCTGAGGGAGATCCGCAGCGGCAGCTCGCCGCGCCCCACGACGCCCCGAAGTTGGAGGTGCGATGGAGTGACTATGTAGTGTTTAGGATTTCATATTGAGGGTTTCTTTGCGGGTTCTGTAGGGTTCCGGGTGTTATCAGGGTGTTATTTATGACGGAAGGATCAGAAGCCTCTGTAAGGGTGTCCGGCAAGGGTTCATGGGCTGGCCTTAAACCCGTCGCCATGCAGGTGCCCTAGAGTATCTGCAAACCGTAGTTCACGTGTCATCATGCATTATTGGTTCTTTGTAAGTACAGTATGTGAGTTTCAGACACAAGGGAGAATCCGCAAAAAGACCTTAGATCATGTCACCTTTTTTTCGTCATCTCAGAAAGGGACCCTGATGTTCGGACCCACCACCAAGACTCAACCCTTCTGTAACAGCATAAGACGGCTGTAATGTTCATTTCATATTAAGAAAGGCCCCCCCCAAACCACGAAGGATGTGAGCCCCAGCCTCCGTAATAAGAGCCGGGGATCCAGACAGAGGCCCCCACAGCCTTCAGCTTGTTTCAAAGCCCCCAAACACCCCAGAAGTTTTTTGGAAGCACTCAAGAAGCTGTTTTGGAGCCATCTTAGCAGCCCCCATAGCTTCCAGAAGCATGTTTAGAGACCGAAAGCCAGAAGTGTCACGGCCCTGCTTCGAGCCCCGGAGAACCCCAGGAGCCTTAAGTCCTTTGCAGCTCCTTTGAGCTTTCATCGATATAACTAAGCAAGATTCCGGTTACACTTTTTCCGCTCTGGCCGCTCGGATTCTGCAAATACCGATGGGGGGGGTTCTGATTACGTTCTGGGAATTGGATTTTGCAATTATGCGGGGGGTTCTACCTCTGAGGTTGACATTAAGGACCTTCAAGACCCTTCAAGCAAAGGCCCTCATAAATCCGTATGAAACCCTTCTGTAGCAGCCGTTGCCTGAACCTCAGGGATGTCCGCGCTGGGAGCTCACCGCGCACCACGACACCCCGAAGTTGGAGGCGAGGTTATAGGGTTGAGGATTTCATGATACGGGGTGTGCACGGGCTCATAGGGTTAAGGGTCTTGAAAGGGCTTTCTCCCCGGGCGTCGTCTTGAGGGCTTTAGGGCTATCCGCCTGGCAAGGATTTGTATGGGTTCAGGGTTCTCCGGTTTTAGAGTACTGGTCAGAGCAGGGTCTTGGATTTAGGACACGTTGTTTGGGTCTAGACTTCTTACTCGTAGCCGTAGGCTAAGAGTGGATTTCGGGCGATTTTACGGGTGGGTGGGGCTTGTTGAAGCTAGTGTTTAGGAGTTTTTCTTAAAGCATTTGTAGATCATCGCTTTTTTCTTGAGACTACCTTAGCTTGGGAGTCTTGAGTGTTCAGATTACAAGTTAAGGCTCGCATGCTTGTAGGCGAGGAGGGTTGCGTTGTTTCGCGCTTCGATTGGGCGTATGCCACGAACTCTGGATGCTGAACGCGATACATTGCCTCAATCCCGCAGCTTACTCCTACCGCTCTACCACACCTCGAAACGCATGAAGCCCAAATTCGCAACCCGCCCGGAACATATGCACAGAGAGTCGAAGTGATGATCAGCGCCTCAACCAGATTGCGCCTGAAACCCTCAAGAACGTCGTAGTAGGTTCGAGTCCGATGACTTTGGCAGGTGATTAATCAGTTTGTGTACGGCCACATACCATGAACTTTCGAGAGGTCCTCGCATGGAATCCAGATGAAGCCAAAGCAGAATCCTAAGAGAACTGCTCGCCAGCACCGAGTCCACGAATGTCACACCGAGGACTTCGGGAGCAGAAAGCACGAGATCTGATTGTGATGCGCAGAGTATTCGATTGTAAGTGATAGGATAATTCAACCATGAAATTAATGCTGGGTTTGCAATTTAGATCCGGGCATTTAACGCGACTGGGCTCCGAAATGTTGTTCTCCGGATTGTGCTTAATTCGTCATTAGTGGGACTGGGGGGGCGGGGGGGCGTTGGTGTGTTTCGGTATTATCGTTGTTCGCCCAGGGTCCAGGGTTGTGCATGGACTCAGGGTTGCTGTCTTTTCGGAACCGAAGGCGTTCTGTACCGTTTGGGCCTCGCAGCAGTAACGCAGTTGAAGATCGGGTGGGTGCAATAACAGCAATCGAAACAATTCGAGCAGTCAAGCATCGTGGATCCCTGCAACATGTTAGAAAAGCGGCGGCCCCTCGTAAATGGAAAGGGCGAGCCTGAATCCTAAGTTCCAAACTTAGTCATCCTTCAAGTCTCTTAATTAACCATAACGAAGAAAGAAGATCCACATCGATCTTCTGTGCACCCCACAATCAAACCCGTAACCCTCAATCCCTAAACTTCACCCTGCGAGACCCCTAAAAACATCATGAAGCCTTCCGTTTCAAGTCTGTAACATCCGTGCAATGCCCTACAAAGACCTCTAAAACCTCACACATACAAGAGCCGTCAACAAAAACACGGTAAGAAAAAGGGTGTACGTTACAGCAAAGCAGGACAAGGCCCAACTCACCAGTCCGACAAAGCTTCGGGCTGAGCTTCCGGAGCTCCCTGCGCCTCGGATCGTCATCAGAGCTTGAGGCTTTCTGGGGGCATGTAGGCTTTAGTTGTGTTATTTGGGGGGGCTTTTGGGTTTTTGTGATTCTAGGGCTTAGGGAGGGTTTTACCTCAAGAGGCTTACTCGTTTTCCAGACGTCTTATGGAGGTACTTGATCACAAGTAGGCTTGGGGGCTTGTAAAGTACAACCCAGCCAGAGGCAAAAGCAAGTATAAGCACATCAGTGAGATATGGTTATGTATACGTACCTACACATACATAGCACCTCCTGGTTTGTGCCTTGGTCATGACTCTATACATACACTGTGCTGTTTCTGGTGAGGGGATGCGTATCTTCTTTCCGGAAGTGTTGTGCTGTGTTTTGCCGTTAGGGTTTGATGCTGATTCCTGTACCTTGCGGCAAACTGTTTGTACTTTCCTTTGGAGGCTCCTGGTTTTCGGTCATGCTTGTGGTTTCCCGAGTTTGTCGGAGTTTGAGTTCATCTGGCGATTGATCTGATGAGACTGCGCAGCATGCCCTCAAGATGATGTAACAAGTCAGTCACATGTCTCCTACTGATAGGAGGACCGTTTACAGGTCGAAAAACGGAATGGGCATTCGATGCAAGACACGGGCTGTCACATCTTATAACGTATCTCTTGGGTCTATTCAAATTCACTCCAACATAAATCCAACTTTCGGTGTTGTTGAGATTGTGCAGTTTGGGGCCGCAATAACAGACTAGCTACAGATTTTTCCGAATGCCTTGTTGGTATCTGTTGCCGGCAGTGGATTCCGAATTCTACCTTGAACCGGCAGAAAGCCTGAACCTACCAGTGATGGGCCGTAAACCCTATGATACATACTATGAGCCCTAAAGTCTTAAAGCTCTAAGCATTGAAGTCCTTTAGTGTGAAAGCCTCGTGCTCAAATGCCACAACAGCCCCAAAGGCATGTGCTTCCGACACCGGAGACTGCCAAGAAGGCAGACTTGTTCGGGACCTACAAAGGTTCTGATAAGGCTTTGGCAGGCTCTTGAAGGCGCTCTTATGCTTGTTGATAAAGGATTGGGGTTCCTATTGTTTCCGCGTGGGGTTCAAGGTTTCGGGGGCTCAGGGCTTTACTGCAATGTTCTAGGATTGCCTAGCTATAGCATTTAGGCAGTGTTTTGTAGGTGCTGGGTGCTGTGTAAGAGTTTGGTCGGACTTAGGTTGTGAGCCCGGATAATTGAACAAAAACACAAAATCCGTTCGACAACGCAAACGAAACCTTTTAAATAAACTCTTGTAAGACCGAAAGAGACCTGTAGATACGTGGATGTCGGGGCGGAAGGTGTTTCTCCGGGCTTCAGTAGCCGTGGTTCAAGAGAAGCAGACAGCATCCATCCTGAAGCTCTCGAAGATACGAGACAGCAAGGGAATGTGAACCTAAGCAGCACACAACTAGGTATAAGAAGCGCGTGGAGCCAGTGTTGAACTCACTGTATGTGGAGATATTCAAGGTTGCGGTTCACGAAACGCATCCACGGAAAGCACGGGAGAAGTATGGGGAAGTCACCAACTCCAAGCTGCAAGCGGAGAGCCCAAGCCCTACAATCCCCCCGCCCCAACACCGTCGGCCTTAAGACATACCTCCCAACAACCCAGAAGTGTAAGTTGTTTCTGCTTCAAGGCACATGGGTGCAAGTTAAGTACTACTTGGTGCGATTATGGGTCAGTCATATCATTTGCACCAGGACCAGCTTCGAGGGGAGGCTTTAATTGAAGGTTGGCTAGATTCTCCTGGGTCTTTGTAAGGAGCACTCCAACACCGCAGCTCAAAACTAAGCAGAAGGACGAGAGGGCCAAGTTGCGTAGCAGTGGCTCTGCAAGGCCCAGTTGAGAACTTCAAAAAGTTCAGCCCAGCAGCCCTAGACCAATTTCAACGTAAGCCCTGGCAGCACCTGACCCAAATGTCTCTGCAAGAGCATGGGAATTTGTGAACCCTCCGCCGAAGTTTAAGCACCGTATAATGAATCCTAAACCCCCGAGCACCAGGATCCTTATTGATCGCGAGAGACTTCTTCAGATGCTGCCGCATAAAGCCCTGTATATGACCGAGCAAGACACACCTTGAACATCAAAACCTGACCAGGAATTCCGGAGTGCCTCAGCCTTGAGCAAATGAAATCTGAAACCTGGAAGCCGAAACCCTACGCGGAATCCCGGCTTTGAAGGCTCTCCCCACACAGAGCCTCCGCCAAGCGAAAATGGCCTTGCCACTGGGCTTCGGGAAGTAGTCTTTGGGGCAATTCTCGGAGCCCTATCCAGAAGAAGTTCCCTCTACGGAACGTTTTGAGGGGGCTCCTTCAAGGGTGGCCCCCTTAAAGGGTTCCTTCTGGTGGATGTTGACGCTTCGGTTTCATGTTTCTGAACGTTTGGGTGTGCGGGGCGTTAAGGATTGCGGAATTGGGATTCTTGTGTTTGACTCAGGTTTGGGGCTCCACACCTTGGGATGTTCTTTGTGGAAGTTCACTACTTGCGGGCCTTTGTGCACACAACCTCTAGCGGCGTCCAGTTTGTTGTGCGTGACAGACACTGTGTGTGTGTGTGTGGGTGTAAGATGTTTTCCACATCTCATCTTTGTTTGTTTTTATACTGGAAGTCTTGTTTTGTTGTTCTGCTGCCTTTGTCATAGAGTCATAGATCTTGCAGGTTTTGAGACTCACATTTTCGTTGAGTCGTCGTGTTCAATATATACAGTTGACTGTGATCCTTGTTTATGTCGCATTCACATTCACCTTAAATTCAAGCCTGAAGAGTGGTCAATATGTAGAGGCTATGGTAGACGGGCAGAAAGCAGGAACCACCAGTTCGCATTACCGTCGAATTTACGACAGCCTCTCCGACACCCGCGACGTTCTTGGCCCTGAAACTCAAAGCCCCTAAGCCATGTCGCGAGCCTGAGGGGAGTGTGGTGAATGAGGTTTGCTTAATTGAAACAGGTGGCGTCCTGCCACAGGGTTTGGAAAGCTTGGGCTTTTGAATAGTCGATCAGGTAACTACACGAGACAAGAAATGTCCACGGCCGCAGAGCGACGCATAGTGACAGTGTACGGTATGATGCTTAGCTGCCCGACTTTAAATCTGCCGAAATAGACTGAAGGCAGCTTAATTCCCAAATGCTGGAGTGAAAATAACATTAGACAGTCTAACCGAGTCTAACCCTCCCTCCCACCCAAAACAAAGCCTCTGGCTCTCAACGGTCGGTATTCAGGAAACGTGCGGCAGAGAAGAAGTTTACGAAGTCTCTGGAGGTGCCCCCCCACACCGAGCGGATGATCGTATGGCAACTGTGATCATGTAATTGGACTCCTCGGATTGTGACGACGACAATTGTGACGACGACAGCAACCAGAAGCTACCACCACTACTTTCATCTCAATAATATTACCCCCAACCTCACCAGCAGCAAATTCGCTACCGCCACCGCCACACCCAGCACCGCCACAACCACACCACCCACCACTGCGACGGCTGCTCGAGCTGGTGCTGTTGCGTTGATGCTGCTGCTGATGCTGCTGTCGCTGTCACCTCTCGCAGCTGTTTGTCTTGCTTAATCTCTCAACATTCATCCTTTCTGTTGCTTACTTCTGGTTCTGCTGCCGTTACGATTGCTGTAATTAATCTTTAGGCTGTTTCTTTCTCTTTCGGGCTTCCTCGAGCTTTCAGTTTTTCTTGGAAGAACACCCATCTATGCGTACTGCTTCTCTTTCTCAGAAGGATGCGCAAGTTGCATAATGCGGAAGATTTGCATAGATTCTCGACTTTTGCAATTTTTGGTTTTGGTCTGCTGGGCCTGGAGGTGTAGAATAGTCTCCCGGACAGCATCCAAAGCGTCTGAAGGAAGGTATTTTGTGGTCCGATGTTCCAGGCGCCGGAGCTCTGAATCTCTGACCCTTGACCCAAAACCCTCAACTCCAACCCGGAAGCTGCCCAAAACCCTCGGCCATAAACACGAACGCTAACAGCCCTAACAACCTGCATCCCAAAGCCCTAAAACCCTAAACCCCACGACACGTTACCCTAACCCCGAGGCCCGAGCCCTGGACTCAAACCTTAAGCCGTACACCCAAACCAACCAAGATCTGACCTCCGGATTTCCTACGACGGCCCTTAGGAAATGGAGAAACAAAGTCCCTAAACCCAAACCCTAAACCCTAAACCCTAACCCCACCCCCCTCGCCCCGTTCTCCGCCTCCCGGAGGATGCCGTCGCCAACGCCAGATCTGTGGGCCTTCCAGAGGAGGAGAGACGAGGGTTAAGGGCCATCTGGGCTTAGGGTTTCAGGATCTAGCTTTCAGGTTCAGGGATTTAGGGCTTTGGGGTTTAGGCTGGGAAGTGCTTAGGCCTTACAAGGGTTGAGGAGGAGAGAAGGTTCTGGGCCCTTTCCGCGGGTTTGGAGTTCAGGGTCTGCTAGATCAAGGTAGCATTCATGCATCTTTTTGTGGTTGCTGAGAGCACTGGAGGGATCTCAGGCGTGCTATGCTGTTCATAATATGATAGTTACAGGTGTTCGTTTTGCTTTATCGTCTGCTAATGTTGCATAAGGTTTACATTGGGTGCTTATAGTATGTATGAGGGGTTCACTATGTGCATATCAAGGCCTTTATGCGGCGCGGCAAAGGTTGTTTAGAGGGTTTCGCAAGGGTGCCCCTGACATGTGCTACATAAGCTGCTGTTCGGAGCACTGGGCTTTAATCGGCTTTAGTTGTTGGTGTTTTGTTCCTCAGTAACCCATTACATAGGTCTTGGGCTTCAAAATGTCAAACCTTAAACAGTTGACCCAAGTCTACAAGCACACACCATGATTTTAGGGTTTCAGGCTTGCGGGCTTGGGGCTATTAGGCGGCCATTCGCCCTTATTAGGGTCATTAAGGGTTTTTTCAGGTTCTACGTTGCTGAAATGATTTGGGCTGTTCTGCTCTTCCTCTTTCCAAGGACTCTCGCATAAACTGGCTTGTCGCATGCGTTCCCAGAGTAGCAGAGACTGGCATGGTTTTGTATGCCAGACTTCAAGCATGCCTATCCAGGGCATAAGCACCGCAAGCCCTACGATGCTCAAGAGTCAACCCAAGGCCAAAGACCCCTACCCGAACAAAGAAATCCGACAACAGCCCACAGCCTCGCAATAAACCTTATGTTGCCATCGTTGGAACCCAGGATCCGGACCTGGAGCGGGCGATTTCCTTGCTGAATGACCGCTTGTACCCAAGCCGAAACATGGTTTCTGCTCTGTTGAGGCTGATTTTGGGTGGAGGGGGGGGAGGGAGTACCTTTGCTACCCCAGTCGGAAAATAGTTTCTGGAGGTCTTTGCTGGGGGCTTGGAAGGGCCACTAGTGTCTGCTGTAGTACAAGTAGTAGTATATGCCTAGCACGATTGCCGAGGTAAGTTGATGACGTGTTAGGGGGTTGCGGGTACAACGGCAAGTAGCGTCATACTGGGGTTCTGACAGTGGTTCTAGTGATGATGGTGGTTGTGGTGATGCGGCTGGTGCTTCGTCTTACTGGTCCCATTTTTGCTACGAGTCTTATCGTTGTTTGTGCTGCGCGATTGATGATAAAACCCTCAAAGTCACTTATAGAACCCTTATAGAACCTTTGAAGGAACCCTTACAGGAACCCTTAAAGGAACTCTCACAGGAACCCATAGAGGAAGTCTAAACACTTCACGCTTCGCAACTTCCGCCTCAGCGCTTCGGATGTTGGAACGTTAGACCGCTTGGCCCAGGTCGATGCAATCGTTTGCTTGTCTTCCTTTAGGGTTGAGGGAGTGTAGGGTTTAGGGTTCAGGGGCGGAGGTGATTTGTGAGGTCTGCTACCTATTGAAATGGTAGCTTTCTGCAACATCAAGGACTCAACAGGACAACTAGCTGGACCAACCCCAGTTTTTCCAGCTGGGCAAAGAGAGGGATCGCGCTGACAGGCCTCGAACCCCAAAGCCCGCTGACGGGATGAACTCTTGAACCGCCCATGGAGTCACCGCCTTCTGCCTCAGACTTTGAAACTGAGAAGGTTCACCGGGCTGTATTCATCTCTTCTCATTTCGCTGGGACAAGAAGGTTTGCCTGCGGCTGGTATTGTACATCTGGCACGACTCTAGGGCTTACTGCCGAAAAACTCATGTCTCACTACCGGACCCTATCCAATCTCCCCAAAACCCGAAAGTCTTAGCCCGAGAACTGAAGACTGGTCAACCCCGAGCTTGAAGACCCCGCCACCATCAGTTCAGGGCTGCTGGAGATTATAATCCCTTGTTCGCTCCCGACACTCGGACACACTGCGTCTAGGGGGTCCATGTGATCAGTGATAGTCTGTTGCACCATGAAAGTCTTACATAAATCCCAACCCTCAAGCGTCAACTCTGAACCCTGGGTCCGAGTCCGTGCAACCTAATCTCTGAGCCCTGGCTTGCCAGCTCCCTCTGTTGCCTTTGGTGGAAGCTGAGGCAGCCCGTGGATGCCCGTTGGGTCACATCTCTGCACACCCGGGCTGCCCCTGGGCCTTAGTCGGATAGCCTTTGCTGGAGTGGAAAGACTTTGAGGATCAGACCTTGAGGGTTGCGGGTTAAGCATGCAAAGAGAAGCCACGCATCGCTATCATGTTTGTCTTCACTGTACTATTGAGCGTGTGGCATCAGTGCCTCCAATCTTTAGACTGCCGTTGTACGGTTTCGGTTGCTTGCTTGTAGAATCGCGGTGCAGGAGAAGCTCTAAACGTCGTCTGAGGTTGTCTTCGTTCAATACTCAACTCAAACATTTTGACGATGTTAACTTACACTGCAGCGACGGAAGGCATGGCATTTCGGGCCAGCCCAGTATCACCTTCATTGGTGAAAGTCACCAGCGACTTCAGAACAAGCATTCAGTCTTGTGCGTATTCGTATCTTCAGAGACCCAACACTAATGAAGCACACTGTGGCACATTAGTCCAAGCGTCTTAGTCAGAGAGATCTTGCAACTGCCTACTTATCAAGCTTGTTCTTGCAAGGATTCTTGTCGTCAGGGTGTGCGTTGCAGTACACATAGTAACTCAGTGCTCATGTTCCTATTATATCGCCTTGAACGGAAACACCGGCTAACGTTTACTCACAGCAACTTGGCATTATCGTGGTTATGAACATGGCTGCGGTCGTGGCCGTGATTATGCTGATGCTCATTCACTCAATCTCCTCTCCAAGACTCTGTGATCGCAGAAGCGAAGCCCGAAATCCACACCCCAAAACCAAATCCCAATCTGCAATTCTCAAGTCCTACAGCCTACACTACACTAACTTCCAGACTCAACCCTAAGATAATAGCTTCAAAAGCACATCTCACTTGGCATCTTCAGGCGGCCAAGCTGAAGCATGCCTGGCCCAGTCGACGGGAGGCCGCTTCCCGTGGCTCGCGAGCTTAGGGTCCTGGGGCCCTGTCTAGGGTAATGGGTTCAGGGCTTAGTTTTAAGGATTAGGGTCTGGGATTCTGGGGGAGTTTGAGGTATGGCTGGAGGGTTTGATTGGGCTTGGGTTTCAAGAGTTTCATGTGTGGGCTTGTATTCGGTTAGCTCGTGTCGGTTCGTGTTGAGCAGTGCGGGGGTCATCTTCAGGGTTGAGTCATTTCTACACACATCAAGGGCGACCTACAAGGACCTACAAATCATGTCAAGACCCCGACACACCGTGACTCGTAAACCCTAAGCACCAAGAAAAACCCTAAGTTCCCAAGCCCGACTAGTTCAGGCCCGCCAGCCCCCAATAGCAGCCCCTAGCCTTAACCACTTAAAGCTTAAGCCACAAATCACTTAAAACCTGGAATGGAAGCCGGAATGTCTCTTTGCCCTAGACCCATGGCCCAAACCGGGACGCTTCAAATCCTAAACCCGTAATCCCTAACCAACAACATCTACATTGAAAAGGCCGACACTTAACACCATCCAATGTTTGCCCCTGTTGCCTTCGAGGAGAAGTCCCTGACACCTCGCCAACGTCGAGCCGCCCTCCAGGACCCTGGCAGCGCGTTGCCCACGACAGCCAAAATGCTCATAGAGCCGAGGGGACACGGAGAAACTTAAACTTAAACCCGATTTACCCACTAAACTGAGAAGCTCTCGGCCTTTAGGCCAAAGCCGATTACTTCAACTCTGACCCAACTGCCACCCTAAGCTCCGCGAATCCTCCAAGTCCCAGAGTTGAGCTGGAGACCCCCCCTGACCCCACAGCTCAAAGTTGCCCAAGAATATGCCGAAAAATCCCTGAAGATCTTGACATCCCCCAAAGCCTAAAAGTCCCGAAGCCCGACCCAGAAGACTTTGAGACCCTCCACCCCCGTGTTTGTCCAGTCCGCTTTTGAATCACCGTAAACACGCATGCCAAGAAATGTGTATGTATTTACCTACGTACGCACGTGCGTACATACATACATACATACATACATACATACATACATACATACATACATACATACATACATACATACATACACACACACAAGTATGTGTGTATGTATGTATGTATGTATGTATGTATGTATGTATGTATGTATGTATGTACGTATGTACGTATGTACGTATGTACGTATGTATGTATGTATGTACGTATGTACGTATGTACGTCTGTACATATGCATGTATGTATGTATGTATGTATGTATGTATGTATGTATGTATGTACGGACGGATGTATGTATGTATGTATGCATGTATGTATGTATGTATGTATGTATGTATGTATGTATGTATGTGTTTACACACACACACACATATATATATATATAGATATCTATATACAACATATGTATATGGGCTACCCTCCTAAGGTCCACGCCCTCTCTTCCACTGGCAAACTTACATACTTTCATTCGAGACTATATTTGTATGTATATGCAGGTAGTTGTATACGCATGCAGAGTGGGACGCACTCGAGGTTCAGCGTGGAAAGTTAAGGTTTCAACGAGGCTTTACCCTACTTCCGAAACGTTAACAATCGTACACTCGCAAAGTAAATTACATCCTTTCTGAATCTCCAGTAGGTTTTCCTGCATGCCTTGTAAAGCACAGCTATAGCGCAGGATCCTCATTGCATGGATCCCTAGAACAGGTATCCCTACATTTGAGAAGACCGGAGTCATTTCTTTCCACACCGCCGGGTGCTCTGAGGACGCGCTGTGTGCGGCCGCCGAAGCCCTGACCCTCACTCCACAAACAGGCTGTGGGATTCAACGGGCACAATCGAGACGTTCGGGGATTTAGGGTTTGGCTTCTGTAGGGAATTCTGGTTATCGCCGCGAGTTCTCGCTTTAGATTAACGGATGAAATACGCAGATCTTTGCAAGTGGGGTTCTTCGTTCTTGTTCGTCTTTGGCTCGGAGTTCTTAGTTCAGTGATGCTTATCTTGGAAGGTTCTTCGGAAGAATCCGAACCAAAAACCCCAAACACCAATCCCCAAACTCCTTAACCCGCTTGCTTCCTCCAAAAAGGGCGTTGGACGTTTTGAATCCGCCCCAGCCGCCATGTGGGAGTTTCAGGGAACGCGGTACCGTGCCGGATGTCAAAACCGTACGGCAGCCTCATAGAGAAGCTCTCGCGGCTACGATACCCCAGACCTGCAAGATGGTTTTGCAGGTTTAGGGTTGAGACCTGTTGAGACGCTTGAGGGCTCATGCTGTATAGGGGTTAATGATTTTGGGGTCTAGGTTGGCGATCCGCGGTTTGGTCCCCATATAATATAGCTGAGAGGGCCTCGAAGCCAAAAGAAAGGGGAGCCGCCTGGCAGGTATCTCCAGCCTGCAGAAGAAGACCGAGAAGCAGTTGCGTAGTGTTTCCTCGCCCCCTGGCGTTTTCTGGATTTCGAGGAGGATCCAAGACGTACGCTGCGTATGTAAGAGGTTGAGGGCACAGAGCTTCGATCTGGTTGCTCAGGGGTTGAGGGGTGTGTCTTGCATATCGGGCTGTCAGTTCTGCTCTGTTTCTACTTTTGTATCCGGAGTTTGGTCAGATAAATGCTCATCGGCACCCCAAGCTCAAACCTGAAGCTCCAAGACAACCAAAAAGTCTGTAAGAAGTTTCAAACTCCGAAACTCTCAAGCATCGTAAAGCCCTGAGAAAGCCCAAACACCATCCTGAGCCCTTCAAAGCCCTCAAAAAGTAGAAACTCTTGGACGAAGTCCGACTACCTTCATAAAAGTGCAAGACAACTAAAAGCCCACTCCCCGACGCTGAAACCGCACCAACCCGAAAAGCCTTAGAATAAACTTTCCGAAAAGCACTGTAGACCCCCAAACAGCTTTCAAGCTCCCCCGAGAGCCATTGAAAAGCTTCTAGAAGCCTTAAAGAGCCCTTTAAAGCCGCCGCATTCCCCCCGAAAGCAGCTCCCAGGAGATGGATCTCCCACGCCTGGGGCGATCTCGACGCCGCCTTCGAAGCCAAGGACCTGGAGGCGACACGTCTCAAGATGTTCGCGTTCATCTTTTCTTGTCCGCCGGGGGGGCGGGGAGGGAGTCATGCTTGGTTGGGCCAGTTCTCTGCCTGAAACCTTGAACCCTTATAAGCCTTAAGTTCGGTACCCCCGAAGAGCAACTCTCCTTGGAAACTGAAAACCTCAATCCTAAGACCTGTCAGGCTCTTTGCCAAGCGGCTGAGGAGTGCAGCGCGGCTGAGAGCGTCACGCGGCATTGCGCTTAGGGCAGGCTTATCGGTTTCAGGGTCCGGTCCATGGCCCTGGTCCCAACCTTCTCATAAGTCCTGCTGCAGCTGAGAACAGGAGTGTATACTTGGAGCCTTTGGCAATCTCGGTGTGCACTCAACAAGAAGCCTGAGAGGGCTGGCTCGGAGCAACCACCCTGACAACGCAGCTTTCTGATGTTTTGGAAGCTGAGTCGCGTTGGTTATTATGCGCCTTGCAAGAACTAGACCTTAAATCCCCGTGAAACCCTAAACCCCCTACCCTGATTTTAAGGGTTATACTGCTAGTATCCGCACTACACGAATATACAATTCTTTCGAGGAGAGTATATTCCAGCCAAAACCCAAGAGACGCCTCGCCTCAAGTGCTGTTTGGCAGCGAAGGCCTGTCATGCTGCCGGAGCACAGAGACTTGGATGTTCGCACCGGGAAGCCTTTAAGAGTTTCGCGGCTGTGTCCTTTAAGGATGTGGTGTCTCCACGGCAACTACCAGGTTCGGTCATCAGCTAGGGTTCAGGGTGTGCCGTTCAGGGTTCAGGCAAAGCTTGCACACCGAAGAAAACAGCAAACGAACAATGAAACTGAGGGTCCCAATCGCTGAAGCACTGAACATCGGGGCCGCAGATAATTAGTAAGAGCCGTTTCGATGTTCCCGAATATGCGTCTAGGATCGGATCCCCGAACCCCAGTCTGATTACACCAAGGCTTGTATCAAGAAGTCCGAGGTTAAGATTACTGAGGCCCGACATCCCCACAGCCCTGAATTCTTAAACGCCTGAAACCCAGAGCCCATTACCAAAACGCGAAGGCCCGCAGACCCGAAAAGATGGTTGAGACGGCAAAGTCTAGGGACCCGGAAACACCCCACAACTTCTACCAAAATCGCCCAAAGCACCAAGCCCCAAGACAGAAGCCCAGAAATCACCCACTTAAAAATCGGACCCCACACATACGCAGAAGCTCCTCCCATTCCCAGGAGCCTGCGCCCGGAGCCGGCGATGTTGGACAAACTCCGAAGCTCTCTGCGGAGCCTCGGAGCAGCCTCCTTGTAGGTTAAGTGAGGGTCTTATAAGGCTTTTAGGGGTCTTAAGGGTTTTTTGAGTTTTAAGGGCTCTTTCGAATGATTGTATGGCTGTCTCAAGCATTGTTGACGGCCGTCGGCGTTGGACGGTTTCAAGTTGCTTTTTATTTTGCGTGCGTTGCATAATGCGAGTTTTGAAAGGGCTTTGCAAGTGTCACGGGTGAAGCTCAAAATAAGCATTAAACCGTTTCCTGCTAATTAGAATTCGTCGCTCCGGCACGTGTTGATTGCTTAGAGAAACTTATGGAACGCTGAAAGGTAGGGTAAGGTAAGGCGTAAAAGCAGGATAAGCAACCTGAGCTTCATCTCGGCACAAAGGAACTTACGGGATTTAGGGGCTCAGGGTTTGCCCGAACCGGCTATAGCCGGTGCACTTTATAGCCGGCTCAGATCCCTGTATGGTCCCTGTATGGCCCGAGAGACTCTTAAGATCGGGGGTCCTTTCCTATGCACGAAAGACTCCCTGGACCCCAGTAGGTTTTGCCCGGACAGGCGAGCCGCGAATCGGATCAGCCCCTGAAGACTAATCTCAACCGGTTCAGTTAAGTCCCTCAACTCAAAAATAAACTACCCAGATGCTCGTCCCTAAATGCTGACCACAACCCAAGCCCCCAAAAAATCGCGATGCCATCATCCCCCTGCCCTCATCCACAAGCCTCGCTTCAAACTTCAAGCCCCAAGCCTCGAACCAGGATTTGCGACGGCTCGTCGAGCTTTAGCCTGGAGGTACAAAGGGCCGGACCCATTTTCAGGGAATCTCTGTTTGCCGAGGTTTCTGATGCGTTGTTGATGGTGTTTGAGAGGCTTCCGATGCATAGGTGTAGCATTGAGGGAACGGTGTAGGCTTGGGGAATGACCCGAAGTAATGTGGGTGCACGAGCAATAACCCTCTTCCTTACTAGTATTGCGGTAAGGATGCTTGTAGAATTTCTGGCTTGGACGTTCGCAGGGTGTCGCGTTCTGGAGTCTTGAAGCACCGCAAGGAGCGGGGGTGCTCGCGTGGCACGTGGCTCATAAGCTTGATGTTCGTGGAGTCGGTTTGTTTGCAAGGGGGTTGTTCTAAACGTCCATCCTAGCGGAGGGACCACGGGGAGTACGCTCATTTTAAGATGATCCATGAGAAGAACCTGCCTTTCGGAGCGTTGAGCAACTGCGCGTGTAGGCTTGTTGGGAGCCGCTGGTTGCTGCGCCTTTGGGCATGCCTTTATTAAACCGCCAGAATAGGATCTTGAACCGAGCTACCGGCCACCATGTATCTCCTTTGTTCAGGCTCCCTTTGTAATTGAGGTGCAGCAAACGTGCAGACCTGAAACCCTGAAGTGTGCAGAACTTGCTTCCACGGGACGGCCGATGGGTAAGGTGAAACCGGGGTTTTGCAGCGCAGCTTTCTTTCAAGAACTGGGGATTGATAGTGCCATTGGTCGAGCCGTCGACACGCAAAAAGCTTTGCAGCTTCACCACCATGTCGGAGGGATGCTCTCAGCAGCCAGAGGAAGAAGCGGGCAGACTGGTTCAAGAGCAGACGAGAGCTTTCGGGAGCTTTGTCGGGCCGTGATGACTCACGCGTAGCCTACCAGCCTGTTGCTGAAGTTTTCCCATGCTTCTGTGCCAAAGGCACGAGGGACCGCGGCATACCCAGCCCGAATACCCTTAAGCCGTACAGCATCTTACAGCCCCAGACACAAAATCCGATACGCTCCCAACATGCAGGCCAAGCGCCTCCATGCTTTCGAGGAAGTGCGAGAGGCCCTGACGCGGCGACTGGGTGAAGGCAGCAAGGTCGGAGATTGGGGCCAAGGGTTTGTCTTGGTGTACAGGGAGTGGAGAGTAATCAGTTGAGCAATGGTGGCACGCTATAATCTGAATAGCAAAGAGTACATGGTGGTATCCAGACTGTTTTTGAAGAACTTGCAGCAGCGACAGGACGACGAAGGAGACTCTTTTCTTGTCTACCTCACGGCTTATCTCTTCGACCCGTGACTCGAAGACTTGTTGTTCTCCTGGCCTTCCGCTGGCCAATCCTGAAGATTCGTGTGGATCCGGAGGTCCTGACCCACTGTGTAGTCTTTCTGTTGACTGCAGAATCGGCAGGACGAGCAGCACTGGACGGAACCATTCTTGGCGGATGCGCTGCGAGAAGCTCTCCGCCAGGGCTGCAACCTGTCGAAAGAACGGCCTCAACCTCAAAAGCCCTAAAGCCTCGAGCTCCACAACCCCATACACCTGAAACCTGTGAGCCTTATGAACTTGATAGTTATCGAACAAGCTTGAAGCCACCCGTCATATGGGCCATTCTGAGGATTTTGCTGGGGGCCTTGCCTTGAGGGAAAGGACCAAAAAAAAAGAACCAGAGAGAGAAAAGGCTAAGGTCAGGCCGGCGACTCCCAGGACGATTGCATCGGCCGTGCTTTGGGCTTCCAAAGCCGACTCTCGGAGCGCCTCCCACAGAGGCACACCTTTTCAGGGCTTAGACACGGTTTAGGGTTTAGGGTTTAGGGTAATTAGACCATGCCAAAACTAACGTTTCGGTTTATATTTCGGGCCCATGTCAGACCCCATCAGCCCTGAATCACTGAACTGCAAAACCCTAGAAGCCCTATAAAACCTAAACCCAAAAGCCGACACCCCATTCCTCTTCGGCTCGAGCGCCTCCTTTGCCTTCCCTTGTCTCAGCTGCTTCAGAGTCGTGCGCTCAAGATGCTTGCTGGTGAATTAGGTATATTTTATGCATCTTGGGACCATATACGGATTTTGTTCCCTGAACATTGATAATGCATTAAACCCAAACCCCTGCAACCCTGATATCCCTTTATATTCCCTACGTAACTTCATATACTCCCTTATTCCCTACTAACTACCAGTTCAGTAAGGATGGGTTGCTGCGTGCTGACCAACCTGATCCTCAATGCACTCATGCTTTTGGCCTCGATTGGAGGTTCGCAAGGGCCTTACACCCTAAACACCCTAAACTAGGTCAGGGCAAACTTAGGGTTTGAGGGTTGAGGGGTTAGGGCTTTTTGGGGCGCAGGCATTAGGTGTTGCGGTTTAGGTTTTTTGGGTTTGGGGTTTGCTGTTTAGGGTAGGGTAAGGGTTTGAGTAGGATCTAGGGGTTGGCGTCTTCGAGAATCACGTAGGGAGTTTGCGTTTTGGGGTGTCGTTGCAGCCGCGAAACTGAGACCAGCTTGGCATGTGCGTCAACAAAGCCCCAGGTGCGTTCCTTGTCTTCACGGAACATTGGGCCGATGTGGAGTTCGGGCCGCAGTCCTTCTCCCTCCTTGTGGGCGTTAGGGGCAGGATGGATCTCTGGAAGGTGGTAATAGGCGGGAGTTTCTGGAAAAGTCTTGCCTGCTCGTACAGCTTGATAACGATTCCCCAAAGCGTGCAACCTGAAAGCACTTACGTAAATCCAAAGCTCTACGCCCTGAAACTAAGCGTTCTTAAACTTAAAACCCCGCTTCTTAAACCCTACACCACAACGCGCCTTGGCAAAGCTGCCAGGCATCAATCCTGAGAGCGCCGTGGGAGGCATCACCAACGGCCTTGCGGATTCTGGCGGCAGTGCCACCTCTGGGGGCTCGGGCTCAGGCCACAAAGCCGAAAGCCTTGAAAACTAATGCGAAGCCTTCCGCCTTAGAGCCTAAGCCCTATAAAACCCTAAAAGAACCCTTAAGGCCCAAATGCCGGGAACAACCCTCTTCCCCCCAAAGCTCAGGCGATTCTGGAAGCTCCGGGCACTCGGGTGGCTTGCTGGGCGGCCTCAGGCGTCTGCAGCAGCACACCGTGGACTACGATTCTGAGTGGCTTACTGACGGTTAGCTAGACAGTTTGGGAATACACTGTAGGGGGATGATATAGGGATGATAGTCCCCGATTCCTAAACCCTAAACCCTTAAACTCCGACACTGAATGCTAAGACTTCAACCCTGAACCTTACACCCTAAACCGCGAATGGTAGCCAACCACCAGTCAGGTGGATGTGCGGCGGAGACATGCTGTACGTGTTAGACAAGGGCCAGGCTGGACGGGATTTGGGGTTCTCAAATGGGGGCCCTAAACACCTTAGGCAGGTCTAGGTAAAATAGACATAGAGGTTCTTATGAGGGATTGCAGGGGGCTATGGTGAGCAGTACGCATTTCAGCGGTTTGTGGGTCTGGGTTTAGGGTTGGGGTTAAGAGCCTAGCGAGGTTTTGGGCTTATGGTTGATGGTTTTAGGGCTCCGGGGGTGGGGCTTAATTAGAGTTAGAGATCGAGGTTTGGATGTAGGGAATCGGCTGGAAAGTTGCCAGCTTTCGCAAAGCTCCATTCATGTTAGAGGGTTCAGGCTTTAGGGTGGTTCTTTTGCAGTACACTCGTTTGCTGCGCAGTGTCCCGTAGAACAGATCCGACACTTCAAGCTTTAAGCCCCCAAGATTAAGTCTGAAACGCCAAATCCCAAAACTGTCCTAAACCTGAAACTCCAATCCCCAAACCTACTGTACCAACAGCTTCACATGTAGGAATTCTGTGAGAAGATCGACTTGGCACAGAAGTTTGCAAGACCCTCAGAGGTTCAGGGGTTTAGGGTTTAAACTTCTTTAATTCAGACTTGAGGCCTTTGGATCTAGCAAGGGTTGTAAGCTGGGCAGGCCCCTGGGACATGAGCTTCTTCCGTATTGGGCTTTCAGGGAGCCCTATGTCAATGTACTAGCACTTTGCAAAGCTTTTGGGGGCCAATGAGGGTTCACCTAAAAATTTTGGCAGCTTAGGATTTCGTAGACGCCGAGTACTGGCGTCCAGCTTTAAGGTGGGATGCTTGCCATCAGTCTTCAATATCCACTCCTAAGAGGTCACAGGAAGGCTTGTGAGAGCTTCATGGGAGTCAGCTGGAAACTTTGATGAGCTTTGCCTGCCGTTTCATCAAGGGTTGAGGGTGTATTTAGGGCTTAGGGTTTGGGTTTAGCTATGGGATTAGGGGTTGGCCTTGTTTGGGGTTAGGGGGTTTAGGGTTCCGTGCAGAGCTCAGTCTAGGTTCCAAGATTCAAAAGAACGAGATAAAGGATTCTTGCTGTGAGCACCTGAAGTCCACACGGAAGCTTCTTCTTACTAAGTCTACCGAAATCCGGAATAACCCCTATTATGAGCCCATGAGCCGTTGTTGCTAAGTAGACCTACCAAGGCAAACGATCATCGAAGTTGTGTCCCGTGCATATGTCGCAACAGGCTAGGTCAGTTTGCTCCGTGTCATCCTGCTTCCAGGTGAGCCAGTAGCCACCCGAAGCCCTAAGCCCTAAACCCTAAGCCCTAAACCCTAAACCCTAATCCCTAAACCCTAACCCTAAACCCTAAACCCTAAACCCTAATCCCTGAAGCCCCATATTCCCTGATTTCCTACTAACCACCAGTATGCGAAGTTCAGGTCACGGCTGGCCTGGCCTTCTTGCTCATCAGCGCCGTCTTCGCTGTCATCTTGCTGATCACTTACGCCTGTGCTGCTGGGACATTATGCTAGCGGTGGTCAGTTTGGGATAAGGGAATCTATTTCAGAGGGGTGTACATACATATATATATATATATATGTATATATATATATATATATATGGTTTATATTCTCTTATTTCCTACAAAGCATTGGGTTTGGATTTACAGTCTGTTACTCGTTGGAGACCTTTTGTCAAGCAGCATGTTCTGAGTAGGTCTTCATGTAGTGTAGTGTAACATAAAGAAGCACTAAGTTCGATCCAGAATTGAGAAGCATTTTATTGTGGAATACTATATGCCCCAAAGACGTAGGAGTAAGAGTATACCTTCCTTCTGAGTATGGTATTTGTATATAAAGAATTTAATCTTACTGAGTTTAACCACAGAAAAGCCATTCACTAAAATCCTAAACCATGATCCCTAAACCCTAAACCATACTCCGTAACCCCTATATCTATATATATATATATATGCATGCATGGAATGCTAACGCCATTTAATTGAGGAAAGGATAACTTCGCCCCAATGACGGTTCAGGCTGGATCAGCGAAGTGGACGAACAGGCGGATGGGGCCACATGGTTTAGGGGGTAGGATCATGGGGAGTTAGAAGTGGTGTTATACGTCCTAAGTAGGTTTATAGGTATTTTGGTCTGACTACAACTTTTAGTTATAACTACCCATGAAGGGGTAGGGTTCAGGGTTCAGGCTTTAGGACGTCATGCTATGGTACCTCAAACTCTTCAAGGCGCTTGGCTGCTAAGTTTGACATCCGTCAATGGGCTGTGGCAGGTGGTGCCAGTCTCGAGCCCGTCGCCTTAAACCTCAAAATCCAACCCTAAACATCCTTTGAAAGTAGGGGCTTGAATACAAGACATCGCAAGGGATGCAAGTTCTGGCTGTCGTGATTCCACTGACAATGGAGGTGGACCACGAGACTTGGAACAGCTTTCTTTACTTACTTTTGGTTTGCTAGGGATGAAGAAATTTGGACTGGAAGTGCCCTGGGCCTCTGCCTGCCGTTTGTACATAGACCAGCAGTGCTAGATTCCAGATCGCTTCTGGGACTCTGAGAGGGCTGGCGGAAGGGCCGGGGATCTGTTGCTGGGGCAAGGTTTCTGACAGAAAAAATCAGAGAGCTGGGGAGAGATAGATATTGCATACTGCCCCCCACTCAGCAGCGTCTGGACAATAAGTATAAAGTGACTGCACGAGGCCGTGAGTATTACTCCCAACATAGACTGCTACGGGGTGCGTGCAGTACCCAAGGCCCTCGAACCTGTCAGTAGCCAGTAGCCAGACACCAAAGTGGGCTAAGGGTCCAAACCCTCTGGTTTCCGCGATTATTCTTACTATTGCAAGTCTTGCGCTTATTACAAGGATTGTTTTTACAGTTATTAATATGTTACTATAACAAAACCCTTTGTTTCCTGGTTCCCTAGCGTGAGGGAGAGCGAGAGAGCGATGGAGGGAGGAGCGAGAGCGGGAGCGAGAGCGAGAGGAAGAGGGAGAAGGAGCGACGACGATAACGATGATGACAAAGAAGGAGAACGACGATGCAGCAGCAGCAGAAAAAAGAAGAAAAAACACAATATTAAGTGTAGACGAACAATAAGAAGAAGGAATGGGACTAATGGGAAGAAGACGAAGAATTAGAAGGGGGAAAATGAGTAATGGGGAGCAACAGAACAATAAGAAGGAGGAGTAGAAACAATGAGAAGCAGAAGCTGCAGCAGAATAATAACAAGAGGAAAAAGAAGAGAAAAAGAAGGAGGAGGAACACGACGAAGAAGTAGAATAAGAGGAGGAGGAGGAGAGAGAAGTAGTATTAGTAGTAGAAGAACAACAGCAAATCCTAACAAGAAGTGGGAAGAATGAGAAGCATCAGAAGAAGCAGCAAAAGAAGAACAGTAATCGGAAGAAGGAGGACTAGGAAGAAATGAAAAGTTCAAGCAAAAGAGCAAGGCCGAAACATAAAGAGAGGAGGAAGAGGAAGAGGAGGGGAGGGAGAGAGCGGCGACAGAAGTCTGGAAGCTGTGGAGCAGTGAGCAACGTGAGTAGCTTGTTGCAGGCTGCTCTGCCCAAACGTGCTCAGCGTGATGATCTCGCTTCTCTGCGTGCTCGTTGCGCTGGCCCTGTTGCTGGGTTGTTGTCGACGAAGTTAAGCCGAGTTGCGATTTTTGTAACAGCCGTGTTAGCCACTCTATCTGTATGCACATCTCATCGTCGAACTGTATAGGCCCTAACAAACTGAAAACGACCCGAAATCGAACCTTAAACCCAAAACCCAAACAGCCTCTAGGTTCCGCATTGCCCTTAGCAGCAACTCAGGCTGGTTTCGATGGTCATGGGCGAGAACGAGGAGCTTTTCTGCAGTTTGCAACGCATTCATTGATAGCCTACTTGCTACCTTTCTGGGATAGGGCCAAAACAGTGGACAATCCCCACATGTCTAGTAAAAGTAAGGAGCCCCAGACCTAAAATAACTAAACTCTATGCCTGAATTCCGTAGCTCCAAGAATCGCATGTCGTGTCCTCGCAGGACGGTTCGAGTGATTCGAGCGAGGCCCACATCATCTGCGTTACGAAAGAGTTTTTCCGTGCGCGTGGGTGCAATGCCACAACCTGCTGTCGTTCGAAAAGGGGACATGGTTCCCTCCAAACTCTAAACATCTGCAAAGTCAAAGCTGAAGAGGTGAGCCCAAAGCTCCAGCCCTTGAGCCACAAACTATGCGTATGCAGCCCTTGCAGCAGGGCCCGCCTGTGGTCATCGTGGGCGCCGATGATGCGGAGGACCGTACACCAATATACACCAATAGTTGCCGTTGGTCAGCTGGGAATGAAGGAATGGAAAAGAAAATGGAAACTACTCTAACGGGTGCATGGTTCAGGGTCCAGGAATGGAACAGGAAATGGAAACTACCCTAGCGGGTTAAAGGAATACTGTAAGGATCCATTTCTTCGCTCCTAGCTAGCCACAGGTATAAATAGACTTCCCCTAGATCCCGCACCTTCAACCCTACGCCCCAAACCGGTTTACTGTTAAGGATTTAGTTCTATAGGGTTTTTCAAGCGGTGGTAAAGGGATGTAAAGGGTTTTTAATTAGGGTGTGTTTAATATTTAATACCAAGTTAGCATATATATGGTGTGTGTGCATACAGCAAATAACAGGGCCAGTAAGCCCAAAAGTATAGACCCTAAACCCTGAAGCCGCCTTCGTCAAAACCCAACCCTTATATGACTCTCGTGCCCTAAGCCCGTAGACCTTGAACCCCAAAACCCCTACCCTGAGAACCTCTAAGAGAAGGGCTGACCACTAAATCGCAGGAGGAATGGCTGGGAGGCGGTGTGGGGCCTGGTTGCATTGGTCCGGGACCCAGAGCTGCGGGAATTGGATGAGGGGCTTAGGTCTTTCGGAATTGAACTTTCGGTATGAGTTTAGGAGCTGGTGACTTGTGTTTTGGGTTGCCAGTTTGTTTTTCCTTCCCTGTGCCCCGAAGAACGTCCTATTTAGGGTTCTTGAATTCCTATAGACCCTAAGCCCTGGACCCGAAGCTGTGAGTTCGGCACGTAGGCTTCCACGTGGCTGCTGTGAGTGGGAAGATCTGGCTGCCTCAGTCTTTAAAGCCTTAAGCCCTAAAAGAGCACATCCCGGAACCCCAAGTAGCCTCTTCTAAAACCCTATTGAATCCCTGAAGCCTAAAACGCCTCACCTCTCAAGCCCTGCCCCCCAAAGTTCGAAGCCCTCACTCCCTCAACCCAAAAGCCTTTAACAGAACCCCCCAATTTCACAAACCCTCAGACCCCCGAGTCCTACCAACCCCTGCCTCAAAACTCCAAAGCATGAAGCACCTACAACCCCTGAGACCTCCAAGCGCCGATTTAAGCCTGAAAGCCCTCAACCCCTAAACACCTGGAACTCAAAATACTAATCCCTTAGATCCCTTATATACGCCGCACAACCCTAAAGCCATAGATCCGAAAACGTCGCAATTTTGTTGAAGCCCGAACCCTAACCTTAAAACCCTATACACCCCTAAATCGCACAAAGCCTGAACCGAAAGGCCTTGCTGCCTGGCTTTTCTTCACCATCGTAGTGACGATGCTCAGCTGTTGCACGTCGCCTCTGCCTCAGTCTGGTCTGGAAGTCGAGTCCTGCGTCAGGGGGTAGGCATTTGGGGGGGGGGGGGACATGTGGGGTTTGAGGGGCAAGACATTTCGTCAACCTCGAATTACGCCCCTCGACCCTAAACCAAGCACTAGGCACCCAAACATAAACCCCGAAGCCCTCAACCCTCAAAGCTGAAGCACATGAACCCGAAACCCGCCCTAAACCCTGAGACGCTGAACACGTTGGCCCTAAACCTTGAACCCTAAACCTTAAACCTCGGCTCCCTGAGCCCTTACATGTCTCCTAACGGTAAACTGCCCTGAGCCTTAAATTTCCCTAAACCCTAAATGTCCCTTGACCCTGAACTTCCCCAAGCTCTGAATCCTCCTAGACCCTAAACATCCCCCAATATAATCAAAACGTAAACCTTTAGTTCCCCATGATTGTGTAGGAGCCTTTCTAATTATCAATCCTCTTTCGAGGTTTCTCACTATAGGTACAGTATAATGGGCCTCGAAGCCCTATTCTAAGCATTAAGGCCCCTTTTTCTTACCCGACAAGTCTAAGGTGCTGTCTCTGCTCCGAGTCGAAGAAGGAGGCCAAGGCGGATGCCGGTCCGCAAGCACGTGAGTGAGTGCACCAGGCAGCCCTTTTTGCAAGTTGAAGGGTGTAGGCATTTAGGGTTTAGGGTTTAGGAATTTGGGAATCTATAGGGTTAAGGTATTCAGGGTTCAGGAGTTGAGGGGGCATACTATTTCGGGGTCCAGGCCTTTGGGTGTGGAGCTGTTGCAAAAGCATGCAAGAAGCATGCGCTGGCGCGTCGAAGACGAGCAGGTGCTCAGTAGCAAATGGCAACATTTCCGCCTTGAGAAGAGCGGTGAACTTGTAGATCCCTGGAAAGTCTTGTGCTTCTGGGGTCCCAAAGGATACCCTTATTTTGACTGGGCTGTCCTTCAAGAACTCCAATTTACCCTGTGGCTTTCTTTGAGACCTTTATGGTGAAGCATGTTCAAAGGTCTGGAAGGACAGCCCACGGTAAGCCATGCATGTTTGGAATCTCAGTTTCAATTTGCGCACCACGTTCCTACGCAGCTCTGGGTCAGAGTGCCTGGGTTGACAAATAAATGGTAACACATGGAAGAGACGTTGAGATGTGTGCATGAATGGGCCTCGTTAGCCTGCAAGCCTAAGCCTAAACCTTAAAGCCAAAGTGATCATGAGATGATCCGTCCGTCCGGCACACATCCAGCAAGACATCAAGAGACCTCTGCTTTGTTTTCGCATGCCAGCATGAGCATGGCTGCTATACCCATAGAGATATTCAGTGAACGGCCAAAGATGCATGGCGTTGGTGTGGGCGCCTGAGGGTTTATGGGATTCCTGTTTTCGGATTCTACGGGGCGAGGACAGAGGGTTGCGTGAGGCTTTTCATAAGCTTTGCAGGGTTGTCGAAAAGGTTTCGGGCGTCAGGGCTGTTACAAGGACCGTCGGAAGTTAATTAGCTAGGTTTTGTTTGAAAGGCTGGTTCTGTGTCTCTTGAGTCTTCATCCGGGCTTTACAAGCGATTTATATGGAAGGGGCTTGTAGGCTGCGAGAATAAGAGTTTCAGGAATTGGTGGGTTTGGAAAGTCTGTTAATGGGCAGTCGGCCAGTCGGTTATGAACCAAATTCGGAACCCGTTTTCGAAGAGCTATCCTCACAAATCCAACGACATCCGCCGAACTTACTCAGGTTTAAGGTTTTGGGACGCCTTGTAAAGTCAGTTTACGTCCCTACACCCGTCATCTGAACCCTTTGGCTAGGATCCAGGCGATGTTCTCGCCCGTACTGTCTGCAGACTGCTCGCATACATCCGCAAACCCCTAAGCACAAGCCCTGCCGGCCGGCCGACAGCAATCTGACACCAGTCCGCGGTACGTCGTACATGCACCCTATATTGGGCAAACCGCCCGTCGAATGAAGATAAAGCGATTGAGCGGTTTATATGCCCCACCGTATGGATACCTGTCGATGCTACTGTTTCGCCCTGAGCTTGATCCCAAGATTGTTGCGTCGCTATGTTGTAGCAAGCTCACTTTCTAGTCGGGTGGTTCGGGAGAATCAGCTCGGTCTTTCACACTCCTCCAATAAGCCCATCGCACGTGGGTGTCGGGGAGTTTTGGAGATTCCCCATGCCCAGGAGACGGGGAGAGAGAGAGAGAGAGACAGAGAGACGCAGACGGAGACGGAGACGGAGACGGAGGGAGGGAGAGAGAGAGAGAGAGAGGGAGAGAGCCTACACAGCCCCAAAACCGAAACCCTAAAGAAGCTTTGGAACATAAACCCTGGAGCTGCAGATGGGGACTCTGGTCGTCGCTGTTGCTCAGCCGCAAAGCCGTTCTGCCGCTCGGTCACACAGCGAGACTGCTGTGGATTTTGCGCTTTGCTTGCTTGGGGTTTAAGGCTGAGGTTTGGGGTCTTGAGGTTGCAGGGTTCCAAGGTTCGGGGAGTTTTGGGCTTCAGGGTCTTGCAGCAGTGTGGCATTCAGAGTCTTTGAGGTTCTCGGATGTGAGGTCTTGCAGGTTTTCAGGCTTGGGGTCCAAGTCATTGCTGACGGAGACAAGAGCCCGTCGACGAACGCAACTAAATCCTAGACCGCGTGGCCCCAGACACCAGCACCCTCCCAAAACCGGCCTCCAACTAATCCCTGGCCCTAAACTCCTAAACCCTAAACCCTAAACTCTGAACCCTAAACCCGAAACCTTGACGCTGAACCCCAATGCTAAACCCCAAAAGGTGGGAGGCAAGCTCGAGCCTGGCGAGGGTGCAGAAAGCCCTGGCTTTCTCGAGGCGTGAAAAAATCGGAGCACTAGCGTGGAAGAGTTTAGTTTTTTTTGGTTTGGGGGGTTTGCAGTTTGAGGTCTTACTTTTTGAGGCCTGAATTTGAATACTTAGCAGCAATATTCCTTTCGGTTCTATGTATCATAATCTACCCCAAACCCATTCCAACTATCGAGGCCCTACAATACCAGGTTTGGCAACAACGCATTTCTCATAGGCCGGTGCGGCACTGACATCGTGAGGGCCCATAAAACTCGGCCAACCACGACATCACGAATGCAAACTGCCGACAGGATATGTCAGAGGTCAGAAGCCTCTTTCAACCAGCAAGTTTTACGTGTACAAAGCCGTTTGCATGTCTGTAGACTGTCTGTACGTGCCTGTGTGTGTGTGTGTGTGGATGGATGAATGCGCCCAGAAGCATCGGATGCTAAGCTCGAAAACCGACAAGCTTTCGAGCCTGCCAATTATCCACAGGCTGCAAGGGTTGCAGGGTATTGGTATTGGGGGTTTTAGGGAGTGTCCGGGGTTCGCACAATTTTGGCACTTCAAGGGTTGGAGGTTGGTAGTTTTTGCTAGGGGTGACAAAAGGGAATCCCGTTAGAGCTAAAAACCTGTAAGGAAGAACGTGTTGAAATCTGGCAGGACCGCCCACGCACCTGACCTGGAGCTGCGGAATGCTTCGCTGTTGGAGGAAAAGTTCGGCACGTCGGCTGCAGTGCTCTGTAAGAGTTTCAAAGGTACGAGTATCTTGCTTTTTGGGGTTTGGGGTTGTTGACTTCATGAACCTACGGCCTTGAGTCGTGCTACAGTTTCATCAGAGTTCATGATTTAACATTGTTGGCCAACGGTCACGCGACTTTACGAAACGCAACCATAAATGCCAAAGCCCAGAGGTTTTCAAAGCGATCTGGCAAGACGGCACCGTAATGTTGACAAGAAGCCTCATTTTCTGACCTGCACCAAGAGCCGCCAAGGACGCCACTTCGCCGCGGCGCGCGATCTGGACGAGGTGGGGCTTGTTTTATATGGTTCAGGGCCCAATAGGGCTCACTATCCTCGTTTGTGCTCTCTGTCCCTGTCGCTCTCGATCTCGCTCTGTCTCTCTCCCCTCCCCTCCCTCCCTCCCCTC